GAGCTCTGCTCATCAGGGACAAAATATATACCCTAAAATTATACCCCCCAGTGACCTATCTCCCTCAGCCATAGCCTACCTGCCTACAATTAGTGCCCCAGTTTATCCATCAGTGGATTAATATACTGATTAGGTTAAGACTATCACAATCTAATTATTTCACCTTAGAAAATGTTTACAATGTCTCACACATGAGTTTTTGGGAAACTCCTTCTATCTAAACCATAAGAATTTCCTTAGTATTGTTAAATTGTTTTTCAGCTACATCAGAGATTTTCTTCAAATTAGGATCTCTTTCTGGAGAATTGTTATTCTCATTTGGAAGTATCACATCTCCTGTCTTGTTTCTTGTGTACTTACATCTATATCGGCACATCTGATGTAACATTATGTCTTCCAATATTTTGAAGTAGTTTTTATCTTCCTTTTCATATCTTCAGGCATCACCCTCTCAAGGGCTGCCCACAATGACTGGCTGTTTTCCAAAGCTCCCACAGAATCTGGTGTTACTTCACATATATGCTGGTTTGACACTGGTGCTGCTAAAGCTTATGACTCTTCATTTAGATGGGATACAGGATATCAGTTGGGTTTGATTAATAGGGGAGCTCAAAAGCTTAGTCTCTATTTGATTTCTTCTCCTTTGATTGATGTCAGCAATGTCTATGAGTGCCTCAGTAGTCCTGAGAATAGCAGTTCAGGAAGGTGATTGTATGACTTTGTAGTGGAATTACAAATATGTGTGTCCCCAGACTCCACAGAGTTGAGTCCTGATGGGCAGCAGATGAGCACAAGCAATCCTGGAGTCTGTGGTACTGATAATCAAGGACTTGAGGTTTTAGAACATAAATAGGAATTTTTCTAGGTCTTGTTCAGTGATTGATGTTGGTGCTAGGGCTTGTAATGCTGTTAATCAATTTTATAGAGCAGAGGGACACACAGAATATCTTCTCCAGATCCAAAGGGATAAGCACAAACTGTATCAGGGCTTTTGGCACTAGTAGCAATGGTCCAAAGTTCATGACTGTGGGGAGGATACTTTCCCCAAGTCCCCTGGTATATGTGCAGGTATTGTTGGGACCTGTTTCTGTATCCATATTCTTGGAGTTGTAGGACATGGAAGAGACTTTCTTAATATTACACAGTTTCTACATGGGTGCTGCTAGAGCTTATGACTCTGGTACTGGTGGTACATGATATGGATGGGAATGCCCCTAGGTCACACAGGGAAAGCTCTTGGAAAAGATTTGTGATGTTGATAGCCATTGTCGTGGGGTTGCAGAACATGGATGGGATATTCTCCTGGTCCTCAGAGGCAAGTTTAGGTGTTGCCAAGGCGCTTGCACCAGCAGTTGCTGTCCCTGGGCCATGGGCTGAGAAGGAATAAAAGTGATACTGGGGATTGGAGCCACTGGTAGCCACATTCCTGAAGCTACAGAACTCAACTGAGAGTTTTTCCAGATCCCAATGGGCAGACATAATTGAAGTCAGAATTTTGCAATAGTAGCTACAGTTTCAAGGTTGTGGGCTGAGAAGGCGATCTTCCATAGCTCCAATAATGCAAGTGCTTGTGGCTAGGGCAGCTGCTAGTCCTAAGCTTCAGGATGTTTGAGGGGACTCTCCTCACTCAATGAGGTTTACATTGGCCCAAGAATTCTAATAGTGTCTGAGAGACTGGTTGCCAGCCCCTAAACCAAGATCGCATCAGGCAATGATTATTATAGTAGTTTGGGTTGTGGAAGTTGAAGGTACCAAAGTGAATCCATTCTTTAAAGTAGAGCAGTCACTTTTAGGGCACTCTGCTCCATGAATCAGACTTAAAACTTATAAAGCAATGGGATTATCCTGCAGTTAGGACAACTGCTGTGACTGGCATTGCTGGCACTTCCCTGCTCTCCTTTTCCTGGCAGTCTTGAGTGGCACCCCCCTCCCCACCCCAACCTCCACCACACTTGGAAAGCCAGGGTTGAAGGTCTGAATTGTTTTTCTTTTCTCCAGTTTGCCTTTCAAGGTCTTCATGCTGTTTAGGCTTCCCTTCACTTTCTGCTGATTTCCAGAGTTCCCTCTCAAGACTCTCCTTGAAATAGCTTTTTCTTTGTTGACCTGGTTCTTCTCTGTGGCAGAGTCACATGCAGGGCACCTGTCTCTGTCAGAGTTTTCACAGCTCTGGCCAAAAGATCTGACAGGAACAATTTTAGAGGAGGAAAAGTTTATTGGGTCCTCACAGTTTCAGAGGTCTTAAGCTGTAGGTGGCGACTCCATTGCTCTGTGGTCAAGGGAGGCAGAACATTATGGTGGAAGGGTATGGAGAAGGAAAGCAGCTCAGAACACAGGAAACGGGAAACAGAGAAAGAGTTCTGCTCATCAGGGTCAAAATATAAACCCAAGAGCAATACTCTCAAGTGCCCTATCTCTTCTAGCCACACCCTACCTGCCTACAGTTAGTGCCCAGTTAACCCATCAGTGGATTAATATATTCATTATGTTAAGGCTCTCATAACCCAGTCATTTCACCTTGGAATATTCTTGCATTGTCTCATACATGAGCTTTTGGGGGACACCATATATACAAACTGTAACAGCACCTGCATTCTGCCACCTGCATAGTCTGGTTTTTCGATTAGTTAATTTATCTTGACATTATTTAAAAAAACCCATCATAGGATGTTTCCCTCAGTATTTAGAAGTAGAACTATTTATTTTTTCTTAACTTATACTGAATCCCCACAGTGTAAGTGAGGCCTACCAAATAGTCCATAAGTTTTTTAATATGGCTTTCATACAACCCTGTTCTGTAAGAGAAGAACGAAGAAATGAATAGTGAAGGGTTATGACTGGCTGTTTTCCAAAGCTCCACAGAATCGGGTGTTGCTTCACATATATGCTGGTACCCTGTTTGACACTGGTGTTGAGGGACTGGTTTTAAAGGCCATGTTGCCTTTAAAGTTTTATTTTTTATTAGTGTGTTGAGTTTTATTTTTCATTGAAAGATATGTAAGTCACAAGCTATGTTCTACCTGTACTGTTAAAAACTACTTGTGAGATTCTAAAGGTGTTCTGCCTCTAAACACCCTATAAAATCGAAGTGTTTCAGACCAGCCTCAATGTGTAGGTTCATAATTTTTCATTTCTCTCTCAACTACTGACAGTGTGGGTACATTAATTTTCATATTAGTCTCCAAAACTTAGTTTTTATTAACAAAAAATCTACATGTTTAGTAGTTATCTCTTTTTTCCCTTGCTTGTCTATAAATGTCCTCTGTTACCTGTTATTTATATTACCTTTCTTCCTATTTCCACTAATTGCCTATCACACAAACATCAATATAAGAAATGATGGATGCATTTCTCTGTGTGTGCATACAGACACATTCTCTTTGGTGTCTCTTATGGTGTGGATGTGAGGTGTCCCCCAAAATCTTCTGTGTTAATGCAGGAATTTTCAGAGGTGAAATGGTTACGTTCTGGGAGCTGTAACTGTAACTGTAACTGACTGTAACTGTAGGCAGGTGGGACATGGCTAGAAGAGGCGGGTCACTAAGGGTATACCCTGGAAAGTTACGTCTCTTGTCTCCTACTCCTTGCATCCTAACATCACTGCCCTCAATTGAGCAGCTTCCCCCCTGCTGGGTCCTTCCCCCATGATGTGCTGACTCACCTTGAGCCCAGAGCAATGGACTCAGCCATCTATGGACTGAAACCTCTGTAATCATGAGCTCCAGATAAACTCTCACTCCTCAAATTTGTTCTTGTCAGGTGTTTTGGTCACAGTGACACAAAAGATGACTAGAATCTTGTCCTGCTCCATTCATGATGCTAACTGGCATAGACATGGGGCTTATAACCAAAAGAGATTCTTTCTCGCAGTTACAGGGACTGAGAACTCATAGATCAAAGTGTTGGTAGATCTAGTGTCTGACGAAGGACCGCTTCCTCCTTCATACATGGCCATCTTCTTTCTGTGTCCTCACATGGTGTGAGAATTGATGAACCTTTCTGAGATCTCTTCAGTAATGACAACTAATCCCACTCAATGAAGGCTCTTCTTCACAACCTATTCATCCCCAAGGGCCCTGTCTCCTAATGTCTCATCATTACTTTGGAGATTAGGATGCATATGCATTTGGGGGGCAGGGGAATACAAATATTCAGTCTGTAATACATGGGATTCATACACTTTCATGTTTTTACATATACAGCTTCCAGCAATTCTCCCTCCCTACCCAAATTGAATTTCATATTTTTTGCTGGTTATAGGAAATATTTTCCGTTGCTAAAAGATAAACATATCAATAAAAAGAAATTCATGTTGTAACTGTTATCTAACTTCCTGCTAAACTAATCTCTGTATCCCCATTGCCAAGACTAATCCAGATAAACCTGGGATGTTGTGACCAACTTGGTGAGATATCAGAATAGTGTCATAAAGTTGTGAACTAGAAGAGGGAAGCAAGATGGAGAAGGGAGCATGGAATCATGCCATGTTGTTTGAAATAATCAGTGATTCTGAGTCAGGAGAGCCGGGAAGGCTTCAAATGATCCATCAGTTATCACCTGGAGACAAATTTGCTGGATGTTGCTCTAGGGTGCAGAGTTTGGATTTGTGAGTATAATTTACAAAGATTGTTTTTACAACTTGTGAGGAAACACTGCTGAGTAAATGAACTTATCCTTCTGTGAAATGAGCTGCCATGGGAAGAAGTAAGCTTCCCACCACTGGAAAGTGATCAAACAGGAGTCTCCTCATTGCTTTCCTGGGACATAACTCAGAGCCCATAGTCTCTAGAGTTTTCCTTTCATCACTGATTTCTAGATCCTTTTGTTAACATATTGATGTATACAATATTTATTTTAAAATACTTATGTCACTGGGCATCATTTTCAGAATCTATGCTTATATTTTTCTTCTCCTTTCCCAAAGGTAAGTGGTTCATGAGCATAATTTACTAAAGTATAAACTATACCCTATTATTTGGTTAAATAATATCTTCTTTTGTCAGCTGCAGAGTGCCCTTGAGAGGAAAGCAAGAATGAACTGAAAAAGGGAAAAGCACAAACTACAGGGTGATTTAAAGGTGAACCAGGAAACTGTGGAGAACCTGGAGAGCAGCCAGCAGTAGCTAGCAGAGTGGCTCAGGATGTAAGCACCTTTCTGTTGACATGCGGTTCAGGAAAAGAGGTTAAGAGAGCAGTTCTGTCATTCCACTTATCCTCGAGACTCTAGGCAGATATCTAAGACCTCAGGCAATGACAATAGGTTTAGGAATTTTTTTGATGGACTTTTAGATAATAATAAAAAAAAACAGTAAATGCATAATGTAGAAGATAACAGTGTATCTGAATAACAGATGAGAATCAAAGGTGTAAGGCACTTGAGATATGAATTAGTGGGAATTTAAGCCTACAAGTTAAACTCAGAAATGCTCACTTATTTTTACTCATGCTTAGAGTAATGGCATAAAATGCAAAAATATTTGACTTTAATATACTAATATACTCTCTAATCACTTAAATAATATTTGATAGCTATTTCATTCGTACTTGTGTAGGTATTTATTGTCAAATAATTTACTATATAAATATTAAACCTTAAAATCTAAAGCAAGGGGCTGGGATTGTGGATCAGTGGTAGAGCGCTTGCCTTGCACATGTGAGGCCCTGGGTTCAATCCTTGGCACCATGTAAAAAATAAATTAGTAAAGTTACTGTGTCCATCTACAACTTAAAAAATATTTTTGAAAAATCTAAAGCAAAACATGGCAACAATCAAAATTAAGGAAACTCAATTCACATTATTTTTTAAAATATTTAGGTACCAAAAAAGTATTTATGTACATACATATGTATTTTTCTTGGACTGAGCATTGAACTCAGGGTCTCACGCTTGCTAGGCAAGTACTCTACCACTGAGCTCCATTCCCAGCCCTCACATGGATTCTTCTCTTTTTCAATTTTTTGAAGATTACTTATTGATGGATTTTTATTAGTTTATTTTAATAATACATAATATGGTACATTGTGACATCATTATCATGCATGGAATACAATTTGCTCTAATTTAATCCCCAGAACATTCCCTTTCCTTCCTCTTGTTCCCTTTCCTGTACTCTACTAATCTATCTTCTATTTATTCATAGTGTTCTTTTTTTTCCAATTAGTGCCTTATGGATACACAAATAAGTGAGATTCACTGTGGTATGTTTGTATGTGTTAATAGGAAAGTTAGGTCAGATTGATTCTACCATTCATCCCTTTTCTGAATCTTCCCCCCTCTCCTTCAATTTCTTTTCTCTATTGATCTATTTTAGTGGAATTCTCCCACCCACCACTTTCTTTCTTTCTTCCCTTTTTTTTTCTTTTTTCCCTTAGTTTGGTCTAGCTTCCACATATCAAATAAAACATTCAACCTTTCACTGTCTGAATCTTTTTAAAATTACACTTAGTGTGATGGTCTCCAGTTCCATCTATTTACCAGCAAATGAAATGCAATAATATCATTCTTTATTAAGTCTGAGAAATACTCTATCATACACACACACCCCACACTCACATTTTTTTTCATCCATTCATCTGTTGATAGGCACCTAAGTTGGTTCCCATAGCTTGGCTATTATAAATTGTGCTACTATAAACATTAGCATGAAGATGGCTTTCTCAATTTATAGTTCTACCCGTTAGTGAGAAATACCATCCCATTTATTGATTCTTAATTTTACTTCTTGTGTTTTAGAAATGTAGTTGAGGAATTTGGTTCCTAAGCCAACATAATGAAGATTTGGACCTATTTTTTATTCTGGTAGGCACAGGGTCTCTCATCTAATGCCAAGGTTCGTGATCCACTTTGAGTTTATTTTAGTGCGCAATGAGAGACGGGGGTCTAATATCATTTTGTGACATGTGGATTTCCAGTTTTCTGAGCACCATTTGTTAAAGAGGCTATCTTTTCTCCAATGTAGGTTTATGGTGCCTTTGTCTAGTATGAGAACACAGTATTTCTGTTGGATTTTCTCTGTGTCTTCTCTTTTGGACCAGTGGTCTTCATATCTGTTTTGGTGCCAATACCAGGCTGTTTTTGTTACTATAACTTTGTAGTATAATTTAAATTCTGGTATTGTGATGCCTCGTGCTTCACTTTTATTGCTGAGGATTGCTTTTGCTATTCTGGGTCTTTTTTTCCCAAATGAATTTCATGACTGCTTTTTCTATTTTTATGAAGAACATCATTGGAACCTTCGTAGGAATTGCATTGAATCTGTATAGTACTTTTGGTAGTATGGCCATTTTTTACAATGTTAATTCCACCTATCCAAGAGCATGAGAGAGCTTTCCATCTTCTAAGGTCTTCTTCAATTTCTTTCTTTAGTGTTCTGTTGTTTTCCTTCTAGAGTTGTTTCACTTCTTTTGTTAGATTGATTCCCAAATATTTTATTTTTTCAAGGCTATTGTGAATGGAATAGTTTTCCTAATTTCTCTTTCAGTTGATTTACTACTGGTGTATAGGAATGCATTTGATTTGTGAGTGTTAATTTTATATCCTGCTAGTTTGCTGAATTCATTTATGAGTTCTAGAAGTTTTCCAGTGGAATTTTGGGGTGTCCTAAATATAGAATCATGTTATCAGCAAATAGTGATAGTTTGAGTTCTTCTTTTCCTACATGTATCCCTTTAATTTCTTTCATCTAATTGCTCTTCCTAGAATTTCAAAGACTATGTTGAATAGAAGTGGTGAAAGAGGGCATCCCTGTCACATTCCAGTTTTTACAGAAAATGCTTTCAATTTTTCTCCATTTAGAATGATGTTGGCTGTGGATTTAGTATATATAGCTTTTGCAATGTTGAGATATGTTCATACTGTCACTACTTTTTCTAGTGTTTTGACCATGAATGGATGCTATATTTTGCCAAATGCTTTTTCTGCATCTATTGAGATTTTCATGTAATTCTTGTCTTTCACTCTACTGATGTGATGAATTATGTTTATTGATTTCTGTATGTTGAACCAACTTTGCATCCACTGGGATGAATCACACTTGAAATGGTGGGTGCACTATCTTTGTAGTGTGGGTTTTTTTTGTGATTTACCAGTATTTTATTAAGAATTTTTGCATCTGTGTTCATGAGGGACATTGGTCTGAAGTTTTATTACCTTGATGAATCTCTGTCTGGTTTTGGTATCAGGGTGATACTAGCTTCATAGAATGAGTTTGGAAGAGATTCTTCCTTTTTCTATTTCATGGAATATTTAGAGGAGGATTGGTGTTGAAGGACACGTAGTGTGGTGGCAGGTGCCTGTAATCCCAGAGGCTAGGGAGGCTGAGGCAGGAAGATTGCAAGTTCAAAGCCAGCCTCAACAATTTAGGCCCTGAGCAATTTAGTAAGATCTTGTCTCAAAATAGAATATAAAACAGGCTGGGGATATGGTTTAGTGGTTAAGTACCCCTGTGCTCAATCTCCAAGAAAGAGGGGGGGGGGCGGGTAGAACGGGAGAGATAGAAACAGAGAGAAAGGGATAAAAAGAGAAAGAAATTCAGAAAAACATAAAAATATGTTTTAATGTTTTATTCTAAACATTCTGATTTTTACATTTTTCTAATTAAAATTATAAATGAGTCAGGTAAATTCATAGGTAGAGAATGAGAAAGGACTGTTGCCTCAGCTTCAGGTAAATGTGCTTTAGGTAGTTGTTTATCAAATGCCTATGCCTGTATTTATATCTATGTGTGATGGTAGTTGTCAATGAAGCAGCGTCTATATGAAGGTATCCATACCACAGAAAAGTATATCTAGACAGAGGGAGAACGAACAGTGTCTAAGAAGGCAAAATAACGTACACAGAAGTATGCCCTGGGGAAAATCGCTTTTTAAACTTATAATTCCTTATGAGGATAATAAAAATGAGTAGCTAACTTGTTTAATGTTTGCTGTGAACCCTGGACATTGAGCTAAAATCCTGGACATGTATTTTTTACTCATTAATCTTCCTGACATCCTTTGAGCTAATATTATTGACTGCAACTGTACTGTAAGTGTCAAGCACAAAGCATGACCAATGATATGTAATCAGTGTTAGTAATTTAATTTTGTGATTATTATTCTTGGTGATTAGAAGACGATTGCACTGAAAATCAGTAAGTTCTATAGCCACTGTGGCCTCAAAACATTTGATAGCACATAATTATTTATAAATTTTACACTATGTGACTCTTTTATACTATATTACCCTGCTAGAAAGTAATTAAAAACATACCAATTAATTTTAACACATACACATATAGTCTTATACGCATCCAGATAGATCATTTTTCTTTGGAGCTAAATAAACTTCTCAATAATGTAACCAACATTCAAAATAATTTTAGAACATCTTTTTATATACTTATCTTCTGAAACATTGTGAGCCAAATAAGAAAATCAATCTCACTGTGTGAATATAATTTATTTTCAGACACAATAATAATCTCCAGGTGATTATTTATCATGTTTATAGGCTTGTCTCCAAATGATGCTTGACTTTATCCCAAATCAAAACAACAAAATTTTCAATTTATTTAAAACTCAAATTTTGTTATCTTCATCACTTCTAAAAGAGTCCAAAATTATTACTGAAGAAATATTTCAGAAATGTTTGATTCACTGAGAGTGCTGTTTGGGGTAAACATGTTGGATCCTGTGATCTCTAGATGGAAGGAGATCACATTTTACCTAGAGGTGAAGATCATATTTTTTTCTTTCAGCACCTTCTTTTTCATACCTCCTCTGTAGAACTGATAGACTACTTATCTGGTTTGACCTTAAAACATGCTTTCCCTAAGCCATGGTACTTTTTTCAATGGAAAGGAAATTTTCGAAAATCAATTCTATCCTTTTCTTCCCTATCCTAATGTATGCTTAATTAGTTAAGGTAATGTTAATGATCATCAATGCCCTTACTGTGCTATAATACAACAATGCTCTCAATATTTGTGGAACTATTCACCCCAGCACTGAAAAAATAGAGTTCTTATCACTACTTTCCTTGTTCTAATAATCTTGCCATTAGTGGTATCGAATGACTATTCACTTTGGTAGTCTCCATTCCTTCAGTAATTCTAATTTGTTGCTGCAAATCTCCTAATACTGGAGATCTAGTGCAGACAAGGAAACTAAGAAGCCAAGTTTGTTAACTGTATGAAATTAAATTGATACTGTTTAAGAGAAAGATGCTTCAACTTGATGTTCATTATAGTGATCAGATTTTTGCCTAAGTTCTGGTAGTTGAGATTGTAAGGTAAATGAATTCTAGATGAGTAAAGTATTGTATATAAAATTCACCTCGAGGGATGGGAACAAGGCTCAATGGTAGAGCTCTTGCCTGGCCTGTTTGAGTTCTCAAGTTCAAATTCTGACACAGCAAATAAAAGAAACAAACAAAATCTTAATTGCTTTAAAAAATAATTCCTGGTTAATTTTGTCTTTCTTGCCATATAAAAGATGGTTTCCTGTTCCTTTGGGAAGTGCTCTTTGGTAAGGTTCACCTCCATATAATTTAATGACACTGCCTGTCATTGAATGCTGAAAGATCTGGAAAAATCTTCAAATTCTAATTCTGGTCTTGGTACTGATTGGAGAAAAGTCACTTAACTTCTGTGTATTCTATTTTCTTTAGTTATGCATTGTGGATCAAAGTGTCATGTTATCTTTGTTAGTTTTAAAGAAGAAAAACCAATAGAATAAAGATCTTAAATATAGACTATGCTAAAAGTGCTTAGTACATAAATCAGAATTATTTATTGCAACAGACTTGATCACAGGATTTGAAAGAGGCTAGAACTTGAAAGAACCACTTGAGCCAAAGTGGAAAAGGAGAATGCTCTGACCTTACCTGTAGACTTAAGGAGAAGCTGGAGGAGGGAGGAGGGTCCAGTTTGACTTAGCTGGAGATGACCAAGAAATAGGAAGCAAAAATTCAGAAGCTTCTCCAAGAGCTGGAGGAGGCCCACATTTGTAGGTGATGTCTGCCTCTTTGAAAGAGGCATATAGGCAGTGAACTCAAAGTCAAGGATCAGGAAGAAAACCTACAGCATATCAAGCAAAAACTGGAAAAACAGTGGTTTGTAACTAAAAGTGGATGACCTCCTGGCCCTTGTTGAGCAGATGAGTTGAGCTAAGGTAACTAAGCCCTCCTCATAGACTTCTAAGCATGGACATAGGTAGGAGAAGGGAGGGGAGAAACAAAGCAGAATGATGACTCAAGGTGTTAGCTAAAGCAGGCTATAGCTCTTCCAAATGACTAGATCAGGCTTGACTTCAGTGGCTATTACTATCAGGCAACCATCCTCTGAATGACACCTGAGAGTGGCTTCTGGTTTCATGAGAATTCTAGTTCATGTTCTTTATGAAGATTTCTCATGATTCTATTAGTAAGTTGACTAAAAAAGTGAAGCCACTAGCCATGTCTGTCATGAAGAACAGCTTTGAGTTGTGAGCACTCCTTAGGGATGGCCTAGGGACTAACAGTCTGTTTAAATAAATGGTGGACACAAACAGTCTTGTTGAGAAGAGGGAACTTTTTGTTTACATCCTCTGGTGTCTTTTTACCAACTAGCACTAGAAGCTATCATATGTCCTTTCTTTGCTGAGTCTGTGAATCTGTGTACTGCAAGTTCTCATGCTAAAGGGTTATTCTCCAATCACGGGTAATAGCAACTCTAACTTCTGATAGTAGAGAGGAGTTTTGCTTTATATTAAGCAAAACAAAAGACTGGTTACTGCAGCCTCCACTCCTTGTAAGCAGAATTTGTGAAGTCCTAGGAGACACATATAACCCAAATACTGGTATTTATTACAGCAGCACCTTGATCTCTTGGTGCCAATTTTATCTTGATCTGGATGTGCTGACATAACAAAATACCTAAGATTGAGCAATTTATAAGTAACAGAAATGTACTTCTCATGGTTCTGAAGGCTGGGAAGGCCAAGATCAAGACTTCAGAAGACTTGGTGTCTAGTGAGGGCTTTCTGCTTTAAAGATGGTACACCTTGCCAGGTATCGTGGCACAGGCCTATAATCCCAGTAATTTGGGAGGCTGAAGCAAAAGGATTGGTAGTTCAAAGACAGCCTCAGCAACTTAGTGAAGCCCTAAGAAACTTAGCAGGACCTATTTCAAAATGAAAAGGGCTGGGGATGTAGCTCAGTCAATAAGCACCTCTAGGTTTAATCCTCAGCACCAAAAAAAAAAAAAAAAAAAAGAAAAAAAGAAACAACAAAAAAAGTTCCTCTTGCCTGGTCCTCATATGGTGGAAGAGCAAATGCTCTGCCCTCACATGGCAAAGGGGGGGAAGGAATTAACATTCCTTTGTACTTCTTTAATAAGGTCACTAATCCCATTCATCTCTTCCTGCATTATGTGATCACCTCCTAAAGGCTCTACCTCTTAATGCTATAACATTGTTGAATAAGTTTCAACATATGAATTTTATGGTACACATCACACTACATAACTTGGCACCCAACCATCCTCCCATTATCTTAGAATGCAGAGTGAGCATGCCTAATCTGATCATTTAAAATCCAAAATATTCCAAATTTTTAAAATTTTCAGTACTAACATGTGCTGCAAGTAGAAAATTTCATACCACAAACTTTGTTTCATGCATAAAATTATTAAATATGTTGTATAAAACTACCTTCAAATTATGTGTGTAAGGTATATATCAGCAACAAAAATGAATTTTGTGTTTACAGTCCTATCCCCAAGATGTCTCATTATGTATATGCAGATATTCCAACATCTGAAAAACATCTGAAATCTGAAGCACTTCCAGTTCCCAGCATTTTTAATAACTTGTTTCTATCTAGAGGGGACTCCAGCCTTCTCCTTCTCTTGTATCTCTTCTGCATTTTCTGAGAATTCCCTCTTTCCCTGGGTACTAAAAACTTTATTTTTCCAGGCTTCATTTGTATCCTATCTCAGCCCAGGTCCTCACTGCCACTATCCCCTCCTGTGCTTCTCATCCTAAGAAACTCTTCTGTTCTGCAAATATTGGTAGAAAGTCATAAAATCTGAAAGCTATTGCTAGATTCACTGTCAGTTCATTCCAACCCGGTATGACTCTAGATATGCTTTCTTGCTCAAAAGTTCTTGATCATTCTATTTTATACAAAATCTTTCCTCATATTCTGAACTTGCCTTTCTGAATACATTCTTTCAATAAATAAGACCAATTAAGATTAAGACCACTCATCTCCTCAGCTTATACATTTTGTTTTTCTTTCCATTTCTTTTTTTTCTTTCTCTCCAATGAATAAATTATTGTTCCACATAAACATGATTTATCTATTCCAAAAAAGAGAAGCAAATCCAAGTATAAAGGACCTAACTTTAGAAGCTAGAGGTGGTGTCTTGAGAGGAAAGCAATGCATTGGTATGTGCATCTCTAACAAAAGAGTAGTTTTCTCTTTATTTCTCGCTGTCTTAACAATTCACCTGAGAACCATGTAACTCGAAATAAAACTTACTATTATCCTTCTTGATTTTGGAGTTTGATAGTCAACATGTAAAGATACAGTTAAATGACAATTGAGACAGAAGTCATTTGAAAGTTACTTTGCTTGTTATCTGGCACTTGGGCTGGGTTAGATAGAAACCTGGGATCTCTCCTTGAGACCACTTCACAGGACTAGCATGGACTTTATTACAACATGGAAGTCACAGGGGAGTTGTACTTCTTACACAGCAACTCAGGGTATGAAGGGTATGTGTTCCAAAACACTAAGGCAACATTGCAAATATTGTGACTTACAATGCTACAGAGTCTCTATAACTCCTCCTGTTAGTTATAAGCCACAGGGACTGGGGTCTGTATAAGGGTGTGAATACCAGAGATTGTGGCTCACTGGCAGGCTATCTTTAAAGACGGTGTAACACATAGGTTACACATAGGTGTATACCTCATCATTTGCTTACTCTTCAATCCCTGAAATATGTGTTTCCTTTCCCCCCTTTTTTTTTTGAAAGTGTGCTTTTAAATTTTTCCTTCAAAACTTGGCAATATCTTTATTTCTCCCAATCAGCTATGTAAAACCAATCCACCAACTTTTCCTGAAGCTGGCATTTCCTTCCGGATGTATCTGTCACCAGCACTGATTTTTCCTATCGCCCAAGCTCCAAGCCTGTTACTTGTTTTCTTTCTCATTTTTTGCTCTCCAATTATTGCAGCAGGTTAATTCTTCACTGTCTCGCCATCCATATAGGTCTTATATCCATATAGGTCTCTCATTACATTTTAGCTGTACTGTAACAGTGGTTTCCTAAATTATCTTTTTTGCTTCTCACCTTTCTTTGGTCCAATCCATCCTGTATAGTACCCAGACTAATTTTTCTAAAACATGACTTTATTGAATTATGTCCCTGCTTAAAAATGAACTCAAAACCTCTGCTTTCAAGGTGTCCTATGGCTGTGATCAGGCTCAACCTGCCTTGCCAGTTTTAGATCCCATTATTTTGATTCACAGACCTTCATTTCACCCCAGCTAAAATGATTGCCTTTCACCAAATATCCATTTTTCCCCACAAATGAGTCATTTTCTACTTTCTGGAATACTCAAGTTCAACATCTTATGTTAAAAATTTGCCCATTCTTGAATTCTTGTAGCACTTTGGGACTCCCTCTTGCTTTCTTGCTTTCTATAATCTTTTAATTTTGTGTAATGGAAAGCAGAAACTAGGTCTTTGTACAAAATCTGCACTCAGTTACTAGCATTATTCTGCATAGGTCTTTTGGGCTGATAGGTTCAGGGATTTGTCCAAGGTCACAAAATATTATGGCAGAGATGGGTCACAACTCCAGATTCTGCATAAGTCTGCAAGTGGCCCTATTCTGATGCCTCAAATATTTTTTGGTAGGATGAATTCATTCTATTCACTCTCAAGTGGGTATATGTTATGCTCAATTTTTGTTTGAATTGTTTACTTCATCTTTTTTCAAATTATAATGCCAAGAATGCAAATGCTTAGTGATACAGTAAAAACAAAAGCATTTTCAAAAGCATATGATGCTGACAGAGAGGCCCAGGGCAATTTAGAAGTGATAGGCAATCTCACAATTATCTTGATTATTTTGAATTCCCATTGGTTCCTGCATTTCTGGGAGGCAGCATTTTTATTCCTCATTTTAAGAAGCAGCTTTGAGATGAATGTGCATTATTGCATTAACCTCCTCTTCCCTGATTTCAAAATTTACTGTTTTTCTCTGTTTAAATTAGAAATCCTTTTGACAGTACAACTCTTTGCATTCTATATCCCTGTACAGGCCAACTTTAGATAAGTACACATATTGTCTTTTACGAATCCTGCTTTGAAAAATACTTTATAAATTGAAAACACTGTGCCTATGGTTAGAGTGTCTATGGATAACCACCACATGAAGGTTTGTCTAAGGGAAAGTCCCATTGCCGCCATGCCCCAATTTTCCTATGTCTAAGGACAGGTGCTTGGACAAATCCCTGAACCTATCAGCCCAAAAGCCCAGTTGGGCTGACCACTCACAGATATGCACAGCCCAGTGGACTCTCACGACATGGGCCTCTCCTGAAAACTGTAGAATCTTTTGCTCCTTTTCTTATTATTTCCTAATACCATTGACTATGTGGGTTTATAGAGATCTGGGCCCTTTCATTTTTTGCAAGTAGGGGCATAACATAATGTATTCAGGGTCACAACCAGAAGTCCCATTTTTCACATGTGAATATGTTTATTCTGGTTTGTTTAAAGGTTTATTTTTATTGAAAACATCATGGAATAAAGATGCTTCACATAGTTATTGTATTTGTATCCAGTGGCTGCTGGGATCTAGGATTTGTGGCAATTCATGTCAACTCCTACTGAAGTCCATTCATCCTTAACATTTGACCCTTTTACTATTTTTTGTTTTGTTTTGTATCTACAAAGGCCATTTCAGTTCAAATCCCAATTCTGACCCTGATTAGCTGTATAAATTTGAACAAGATATTTAGCCTCTCTCATGCTCAGTTTTCTAATTTATAAAACAGAGAAAGATGAACTCTTGTGAGCTATTGTGAGGGATAAAGTGTGTGCCAATTTTTGCTTTCGAAGTCACTTTCAGAAGTGAGAGAAAACATTCAACATTCAAAATATAATTAGAAACTGCAGAAAACCTAAAAAACATTGCAATTATCACTACAATAGCCTTTCTGCTTGTGAGTGAATAACTGAACACACCTGGCGTCACCTCTGTGCTGCTGATGAATGAGAACCTGGTCATCAAATCTCTGCCAGGTCTGGATTCACAACCACCAAAAAGCTTGTATGCACCATGGGACATCTGCAACCTGGAACCACATTGCATTCTTCTAAATGAGCATGTACCAAAATTGGTTCTTCACTTCTTTGTTAATCAGTGGGAAGCATCTTGGCCAAGTTAGAAAAACAAATTTGGAGGCTAGCATTTATGAGGAAAATTTGTGACATTACTAAACACTGTGGGCTTGTTGTCCAACCTCTCACTAAAGTCTGTGTACTAGCCATTATTAAGAGCATGTTGTATGTCAAGCATTGTATTAGAAATGTAAGAGCATGTAAGGTAGCAGTCTTTCACAGGATGTTTAGAATGCTCATCATTGTAAGCTTAAAGAGAACAGTCTTAACATACTGTGGGCTCCAACTAGAGATGGCCAAGGTCTTTGCTGACTCAGAAGTTTCCCAGAGGACTTTTAAACATTCCTGGCCTTTGGACAATATTATTTCATAATAATTAGGCTAATAGCTGGGCTTACCACCAGCTTTCACCCTTTCACTGTGTCTCACAGTTTTCTCAGTGTCATGTGTGCAATTCTTTCTTTCTCTCCATATTGGTACCCTTTCTTTGTAAAGATAAGAATTAACACACATAAAAAGCCCAGAAGAGCACTGGATATACAATAAGTACCCAATAATGTTAGCTGCTGCTGCTGCTGCTATTGTTCTTTGTGTCATCATCCATTATCATCAATATGGGGGCAGATGAAAGGTATTCAGAGATAATTTGCAGATTAGTTTCACAAAACAGCTATATAAGATCTAAAGAACCATGGAAGTCAACCAATGTAATTTTGCCATTTCTGGCTGCATAAATTATAAGATTTAAATTACAGTTAATTCCTAGGTAAAAGGGGACATCCCCATATAGCCTACATTTGGCAATTTAGTTCAGTCTGAGAATCTTGAGTCTCAAAATTATTTGCATGAGTTTTCATAGTGTGACAGTCTAGTCACTTTATGGGTTACCTAAACCAGGCAAAAATGCAAAAGCCAATGGCATATTTTTTTCTTCAAGCATGAAAAGTCAATTCTGAGAAGTTGAAGTTTGAGATTCAAGTGTTAGTCCAACTGGGTTATCTTGACTCAGCAGCGTAAGTGATCAGAAGAATGCAATTGCTTTGTCAGCTCAAATTTGTTATTAGGTTTTTGCAACTCAGATCCATCTACTTTATCCTAGCCCACTTGGCCAGTTCCCTAGGTTTTTTTCCTTCCTTCCTTCCTTCTTTCCCTCCCTATACACCTTCCTGCTTGTTCATTGAGGCTCTATTATGTTGTAGACCTTGTTCAAGGTGCTAGAGACCTGTGATCAAGCAGAATTTCTACCCTCATGAAACATTCTAGTGAGAGTAAAAGTTGAATATATAATATGATATACTATCAGAAAAGAATTATGTGTGACACCTCATTAGTGTTTGACATGTTTCCTTCTCCAGAAGAGTAAAGAATCCTGGAGAGGCTCCAAATACCCTAGGAGTTGGATTGCTTCCCTACACCTATAATGTGAACTAGTTTTGATTTCTTAGAGGCCCGTACCCTTTTCTGTACATTTGTTATACGTGCTTAAATTAGATGTGGTTTCCCAAAGCTGACTGAGATCTTTACTGCAGAAGAGCTCCTACAGGTCCTCGTGCCAACCACTCCCTCCTTCCTCAAGCAGCTAATGAGCATGACTAACCCTTCTTTCTTAACTTACAGGCTAATGCTGAGAGAGACTGTAGTCTGTATGAAGAGCCCTTGAATGAAGCAAATGCAAAACTAGATGAGGCAACTCAGGTGGCCGATGACTTGACTGCACAGAAGACAAAGCTACAGAGAGGTAAGTGAATGTGCTGCCTCACATGTGAGTAATCCTCACACCCAGGAGACTCACGGAGGCACAATTGGGATGATAATTACCCACAGACTGGATGGGCATCCACAGACTCTAGTGGATGAATATAGCCTCTGCATTACCCCTGTCCACAGATACACTTCTGTCTGGAAAGGGTCACCTCTTTGGTGCTTCAGGAGGCTCTGCCCAGAAGAAAAGCACTGTGCCACTGACAAGCTCAAAGGGTCATAGGGGCTATCTACATTGTCTAGTAGGCATGAATTCTTTACAACTTCTGCATTGAATGGGCACTATTGCTAACTTTTAGTGAAGAACCTACATTAGTTTTACACTCAGTGAAAGTCAGAATCTGAACAATGGCCTACATAATTGGACTCCCATTATCTCTCTGGCCTCTTCTACTTGCTGCCTCTCTCCTTCTGCCTTAGCCACACTGAACTCTTTGCTTTGCCTTGAATACACCAGGTTCACTACCACCCTGGTGTCTAGGTCTAACAATTTCATCTGCCTGAAATACCTTGTTAATTCTGCAAAGTCTTGGAGATGAGGTTTAATCAAGTGGACATCTAGGGCAAGTCAGAATAGTCCCTTTGAGAAAGTGGCATTTGAGCACTGTCAACCTGTTTTCTACTTGTGCTTCTTTTTTCAGAGTATTTGTTACACAAACTGTTTACTTGACCCAATTAGCTTATTCGTCTCTCTCTGTTTGATATAAACCCTAAGAGTGCATGATTCTTCATCTTGTTCATTGGTACATGCCTATCATCTAGAACATTGCCCGGCATGTACTGGTGCTCCGTATACATTTGATAAATTAGAAGTAGTAAAATGCCCTGTGCTTTATTCTTTACTATAAACCACTATTTATATACTTTCCCAATGTTTTTCATTTCATTTTCACTATATTGTAAGCTTTATTGTATCTTGCCTATTTAGTCATTTATAATGGCTGCTCCCCACCCTGTAAATAAACAGACAATAGTTTATTTAACGGACAATAGTTTATTTACCCTATCCCTGTAACTTGACTTTGCTATAAAGAGCATGTGGCTTCATGTTTGTCTGTAATTAGAATTATTTTTAGGAACATATTTTCAGAGATAGAATTCCTAAGTCAATGGAAATAAACAGTGTGTTATTGATTCTCAGAAGCACACACTATTAAATACAAAATGAAGGCCATTTGAGTTGTCTGACATTGTTCTGACACTGGACACCTCTTTTTCTATATGTTAACTCTAGAGTCAAGGTAAAATTAAAATGAGTTAGAAACTTGGAAATCTAGCCAAGGAAAGTGTTTTGGGTTCTAGCAAAGACACCAAATAGGACCCTTCTTAGATTGTCGGGAGGAAGTGTGACACTTGGTCTCTTTACAATCCCTCAGTTTGATCTTCTGTACCATTTAGTATGTCATGTGTGGAATCCACAGTCTAGAAACAAAGCCAGGGTATATTTGGATATCTGGGCCTGAAGAAAGTTCTGTACAAAAGTTGTTTTAATAGGCACTGACTGCTTCTTTCTAGTTATTGGCACTAATTTTCCACTCACTTTTTTGATGAGGAAATTGGTGGGTAAGTGAGTAAAATGAAAGTGGGTGTGAGATGTAATTCTACTTAGGATGCAGGACCTTTTTCTTCCTTTAATTCTTATCTTTACCTTTTGGCTTTTGTATAAATTAAATTTTAAGCATGTACTTACCCAAGCTCCCCGCTCTCCTTACAGGGTCCATTTCCAGACTTTTTAATATCTGCTGCTTTTCTGCTATTATTACCAAAGTCTCTTTGTCATATGCTGTCCTCTTATACCCTGCTTCTTTTTTTTTTAATTTTTTATTGTTGGCTGTTCAAAACATTACATAGTTCTTGATATATCATATTTCACACTTTGATTCAAGTGGGTTATGAGCTCCCATTTTTACCCCATATACAGATTGCAGAATTACATCAGTTACACATCCATTGATTTACATATTGCCATACTAGTGTCTGTTGTGTTCTGCTGCCTTTCCTATCCTCTACTATCCCCCCTCCCCTCCCCTCCCCTCCCCTTTTCTCTCTCTACCCCCTCTACTGTCATTCATTTGTCCCCCTTGTATTATTTTTCCCTTTCCCCTCACTTCCTCTTGTATGTACTTTTGTATAACTCTGAGGGTCTCCTTCCATTTCCATGCAATTTCCCTTCTCTCTCCCTTTCCCTCCCACCTCTCATCCCTGTTTAATGTTAATCTTCTTCTCATGCTCTTCGACCCTACTCTGTTCTTAGTTACTCTCCTTATATCAAAGAAGACATTTGGCATTTGTTTTTTAGGGATTGGCTAGCTTCACTTAGCATAATCTGCTCTAATGCCATCCATTTCCCTGTAAATTCTATGATTTTGTCATTTTTTAATGCAGAGTAATACTCCATTGTGTATAAATGCCACATTTTTTTTATCCATTCATCTATTGAAGGGCATCTAGGTTGGTTCCACAGTCTTGCTATTATGAATTGTGCTGCTATGAACATCGATGTAGCAGTGTCCCTGTAGCATGCTCTTTTTAGGTCTTTAGGGAATAGACCAAGAAGGGGAATAGCTGGGTCAAATGGTGGCTCCATTCCCAGCTTTCCAAGAAATCTCCATACTGCTTTCCAAATTGGCTGCACCAATTTGCAGTCCCACCAGCAATGTACAAGTGTACCCTTTTCCCCACATCCTCGCCAGCACTTGTTGTTGTTTGACTTCATAATGGCTGCCAATCTAACTGGAGTGAGATGGTATCTTAGGGTGGTTTTGATTTGCATTTCTCTGACTGCTAGAGATGGTGAGCATTTTTTCATGTACTTGTTGATTGATTGTATGTCCTCCTCTGAGAAGTGTCTGTTCAGGTCCTTGGCCCATTTGTTGATTGGGTTGTTTGTTCTCTTATTGTCTAATTTTTTGAGTTCTTTGTATACTCTGGATATTAGGGCTCTATCTGAAGTGTGAGGAGTAAAGATTTGTTCCCAGGATGTAGGCTCTCTATTTACCTCTCTTATTGTTTCTTTAGCTGAGAAAAAACTTTTTAGTTTGAGTAAGTCCCATTTGTTGATTCTAGTTATTAACTTTTGTGCTATGGGTGTCCTATTGAGGAATTTGGAGCCCGACCCCACAGTATGTAGATCGTAGCCAACTTTTTCTTCTATCAGACGGCGTGTCTCTGATTTGATATCAAGCTCCTTGATCCATTTTGAATTCACTTTTGTGCATGGCGAGAGAAAGGGATTCAGTTTCATTTTGTTGCATATGGATTTCCAGTTTTCCCAGCACCATTTGTTGAAGATGCTATCCTTCCTCCATTGCATGCTTTTAGCCCCTTTATCAAATATAAGGTAGTTGTAGTTTTGTGGATTGGTTTCTGTGTCCTCTATTCTGTACCATTGGTCCACCCGCCTGTTTTGGTACCAGTACCATGCTGTTTTTGTTACTATTGCTCTGTAGTATAGTTTGAAGTCAGGTATCGCTATACCGCCTGATTCACACTTCCTGCTTAGCATTGTTTTTGCTATTCTGGGTCTTTTATTTTTCCATATGAATTTCATGATTGCTTTCTCTATTTCTACAAGAAATGCCGTTGGGATTTTGATTGGCATTGCATTAAACCTATAGAGAACTTTTGGTAATATCGCCATTTTGATGATGTTAGTTCTGCCTATCCATGAACAGGGTATATTTTTCCATCTTCTAAGATCTTCTTCTATTTCTCTCTTTAGGGTTCTGTAGTTTTCATTGTATAAGTCTTTCACCTCTTTTGTTAGGTTGATTCCCAAGTATTTTATTTTTTTTGAAGATATTGTGAATGGAGTGGTTGTCCTCATTTCCATTTCAGAGGATTTGTCGCTGATATACAGGAATGCCTTTGATTTATGCATGTTGATTTTATATCCTGCCACTTTGCTGAATTCATTTATTAGCTCTAATAGTTTCTTTGTAGACCCTTTTGGGTCTGCTAGGTATAGAATCATGTCATCTGCAAATAGTGATAATTTAAGTTCTTCTTTTCCTATTTTGATGCCTTTAATTTCTTTCGTCTGTCTAATTGCTCTGGCCAGTGTTTCGAGAACTATGTTGAACAGAAGTGGAGAGAGAGGGCATCCCTGTCTTGTTCCAGATTTTAGAGGGAATGCCTTCAGTTTTTCTCCATTCAGAATGATGCTAGCCTGAGGCTTAGCATAGATTGCTTTTACAATATTGAGGTATGTTCCTGTTATCCCTAGTTTTTCTAGAGTTTTGAACATAAAGGGATGCTGTACTTTGTCGAATGCTTTTTCCGCATCTATCGAGATGATCATATGGTTCTTATTTTTAAGTCTATTGATGTGGTGAATAACATTTATTGATTTACGTATATTGAATCAGCCTTGCATCCCAGGGATGAATCCTACTTGATCATGGTGCACAATTTTTTTGATATGTTTTTGTATCCGATTCGCCAGAATTTTATTGAGGATTTTTGCATCTAGGTTCATTAGAGATATTGGTCTGTAGTTTTCTTTCTTGGAAGTGTCTTTGTCTGGTTTAGGTATCAGGGTGATGTTGGCCTCGTAGAATGAATTTGGAAGTTCTCCCTCTTTTTCTATTTCCCGAAGTAGCTTGAAAAGTATTGGTATTAGTTCCTCTTTAAAGGTTTTGTAAAACTCTGCTGTGTACCCATCCGGTCCTGGGCTTTTCTTAGTTGGTAGTCTTTTGATGGTTTCTTCTATTTCCTCAATTGATATTGGTCTGTTTAGGTTGTCTATATCCTCCTGACTCAATCTGGGCAGATCATATGACTTAAGAAATTTATCGATGCCTTCACTATCTTCTAATTTATTGGAGTATAAGGATTCAAAATAATTTTTGATTATCTTCTGTATATCTGAGGTGTCTGTTGTGATATTGCCTTTTTCATCCCGTATGCTAGTAATTTGAGTTCTCTCTCTTCTTCTCTTCGCTAGCATGGCTAAGGGTCTGTCGATTTTGTTTATTTTTTCAAAGAACCAACTTTTAGTTTTGTCACTTTTTTCAATTGTTTCTTTTGTTTCGATTTCATTAATTTCAGCTCTGATTTTCATTATTTCTTGCCTTCTACTTCTTTTGCTGTTGTTTTGCTCTTCTTTTTCAAGGATTTTGAGATGAAGTATGAGATCATTTATTTGTTGGTTTTTTCTTTTTTTAAGGAATGAACTCCAAGCAATGAATTTTCCTCTTAGAACTGCTTTCAATGTGTCCCATAGATTCCGATATGTTGTGTCAGTGTTTTCATTAATCTCTAAGAATTTTTTAATTTCCTCCTTGATGTCTTCTATAACCCACTGATCATTCAGTAACCTATTGTTCATTCTCCAAGTGATGTATTCTTTTTCCTTCCTTCTTTTATCGTTGATTTTCAGTTCCATTCCATTATGATCAGATAGGATGCATGGTATTATCTCTACTCCTTTGTATTGTCTAAGAGTTTCCCTGTGACATAATATATGATCTATTTTTGAGAAGGATCCATGTGCTGCTGAGAAAAAAGTGTAACTGCTTGATGTTGGGTGGTATATTCTATATATGTCAATTAAGTCTAGGTTATTAATTGTGTTATTGAGTTCTATAGTTTCCTTATTCAACTTTTGTTTGGAAGATCTGTCCAGTGGCGAGAGAGGTGTGTTGAAGTCTCCCATGATTATTGTATGGTGGTCTATTAGACTCTTGAACTTGAGGAGTTTGTTTGATGAACATAGCTGCACCATTGTTTGGGGCATATATATTTATGATTGTTATGTCTTGTTGGTGTATGGTTCCCTTAAGCAGTATGTAGTGTCCCTCTTTATCCCTTTTGATTAACTTTGGCTTGAAATCTATTTTATTTGATATGAGTATGGACACTCCTGCTTGTTTCCGAAGTCCATATGAGTGATATGATTTTTCCCAACCTTTCACCTTCAGCCTATGTATGTCTTTTCCTATCAAATGCGTCTCCTGTAGGCAGCATATTGTTGGGTCTTGTTTTGTGATCCATTCTACTAGCCTGTGTCTCTTGATTGGTGAGTTTAAGCCATTAACATTTAGGGTTATTATTGAGATATGGGTTGTTGTTCCAGCCATATTTGTTTATTTATGTTACTAAACATGGTTTGTTTTCCTCTTTGATTATTTTCCCCCCCTTTACTGTCCTACCTCCCACTGTTGGTTTTCATTGTTATTTTCCATTTCCTCTTCCTGTAATGTTTTGCCAAGGATGTTTAGAAGAGATGGTTTTCTAGCTGCAAATTCTTTTAACTTTTGTTTATCGTGGAAGGTTTTAATTTCATCTTCCATCCTGAAGCTTAATTTCGCTGGAAACACAATTCTTGGTTGGAACCCATTTTCTTTCAGTGTTTGAAATATGTTATTCCAGGATCTTCTAGCTTTCAGAGTCTGTGTTGAAAGATCAGCTGTTATCCTGATTGGCTTACCCCTAAATGTGATCTGCTTCCTTTCTCTTGTAGCTTTTAAAATTCTCTCCTTATTCTGTATGTTGGGCATCTTCATTATAATGTGTCTAGGTGTGGGTCTCTTATGATTTTGCACATTCGGCGTCCTGTAGGCTTCTAGGATTTGGGATTCTGTCTCATTCTTCAAGTCTGGGAAGTTTTCTCGTATTATTTCATTGAATAGATTGCTCATTCCTTTGGTTTGAAACTCTGTCCCTTCCTGTATCCCAATGACTCTTAAATTTGGTCTCTTGATGTTATCCCATATTTCTTGGATGTTCTGCTCATGGTTTCTTAACAGTCTTGCTGAGCTGTCTATGTTCTTTTCAAGTTGAAATACTTTATCTTCATTGTCTGATGTTCTATCTTCTAAGTGTTCTACTCTGCTGGTAGTATTCTCAATTGAGTTTTTAAGTTGGTTTATTGCTTCCTGCATTTCTAGGATTTCTGTTTGTTTGTTTTTTATAACCTCTATCTCCCTGTATAGTTGATCTTTTGCTTCTTGGATTTGTTTATGTAATTCATTGTTGAAGTGATCTTTCATTGTCTGATTTTGCTGTCTGATGTCTTCCTTGAGACTCCAGATCATCTGAAGCATGTATATCCTGAATTCTTTATCTGACATTCCATCTGCTGCAGCTATTACCTCTTCTAACATTGAGTTGACCTGCATTGCTTGTGGTCCTTTCTTTCCTTGTCTCTTCATACTGTTCGCGTTACTTTCTACTTGGTGAGACTGTTGTGCTATTGAATTTTCCCCCTATATATTTATATTGGTCTTGTATAGTTGCAAAGTCTCCCTCGCAGGCACGGGCGGCGGCTCTGCCCCTCCTCCAATTGGGGCAATGTGCCTACCACGCCGGCAGGCCACTGGGCCTGCTCTGCCAGTCGGTAGCAGGTCCGCCTACCTTGCAGGCGCGGGCGGCGGCTCTGTCCCTCTGCGGGCCGCTAGGCTTGTTCTGTCGGTGGTCGCAGTTCTGCCTACTTTGCAGGCGCAGGCAGCGGCACTGCCCTTCTGCAGGCCTCTGGGGCTGTTCTGCCAGTGGGTCACAGGTTCGCCTACCTTGCAGGCGCGGGGGGCGGGGCAGCTCTACCCTTCCTCAGGCCGCTGGGCCTGTTCTGTGTGTCGGTTGCAGGTCTGGCCTGTTCTGATGGTGGTCACAGTTCCGTCTACCTTGCAGGCGCGGGGGGAGGGGGCGGCTCTGCCTCTCAGCAGGCCGCTGCTCCTCTTCTGCCGGTGGGTTGCAGGCCCGCCTACCTTGCAGGAGTGATTGGAAGCTCTGTCCCGCCGCAGGCCACTGGGCCTTTTCTCTTATACCCTGCTTCTAAAGGATACCAGTAGCACATATGATTGATTAAGCCATGTTAAATATGTGCTTGTTCTGTAATATAAATGATTTGTTGGTCTCAACATCCCAATAGATTTCTTCAGAATCCTTTTAAATATGATGTTTCACTCAAAGATTCTTTAAAGTTTGGTATCCCCAGGGTCCTCAGTATCTTTGGTGGGGTCTATGAGGTTAATGTTATTTCATCTTAGCACTTAGATGCTATTTGCTTTTTAAATTCTTTTGCCACTATATTGCTAGTGCAAAAGCATTGACAATTAAATCTTCTCTAGCCTTATTACAAATCCAGCCTGTAACACCATACTGCACTATTAATTAATGTATTCATTAATATGTACTCGAAGTTTAAAAAAATGGCCTTAATGAAGCAGTACAAATTAATTGTATTACATTTCAACTCAGAGTATATGTCTTTTTAATATTCTGTGTGACAAAACAAGTCTGCATTAAGAACTTCTATTTCATATTGAAGTAAGATGTGTGCTTTAGTGTGAGCTGAGCTAGTGGTTTTATTCAGGGAATATTACTTTAACTTGAAAGAACAATTGACAAACTGTGCTTATTCAGGCTTACATATTTGGCACATATTTTCTCAAAAAGGAACAAAGTAAGCCTGTCACTTTGAGAAAAACAACTGACAGTGTTTGTTGCCAATAATAACATGGGAACTTTTAGATGAGAAGTAGATTTCAGAAAGCATGAGTATGATGTCATGAGCTTGAGTTCTTAAAGACTTCTTTGATGAGATCAGTGGTGATGTTAACCAATATGATTTTTTTTTAGGATACTGTACATGATATTGTGATTTACGAAAAGAGATACTGTAGACCCTTTTTATCTGTGGGGAATTCATTCTAAGACCCCTAGTAGACATCTCACACCATACATATCCCTATGTATATTATGTTGTGTTTTTTTCCTACTTAATGACTAACAGGCAGGTGGCACATACATGGTACATATGGTGAACAAAGAGATGATTTGTGTCACTGGTGAGACAGAGTGGTACAGTGAGAAATTCCGTCACTGTACTCAGAATGGTGCACCATGGGAAACATGAATTGTTTATTTCTAGAATATTCCACATAGTGCTAACCAGAGTTGACCTTGGGTAACTAAACTCTCATCTCAGAAAGTAAATTCAAGGATAAAGAGGTGTGTGTGTGTGTGTGTTTAGTATTTGTTTCCTGACAGTAGACCTTAAATCCCTTAAAATCTCCAGAGTGTTAATAATGTCTTTTCTATGCTAATTAGGGGGCTAGGAGAAAGAGTTTGGGGGTTGTGGTGGTCACTAAATAGACCAAGGCATGATAAGAGGGTTGAAACTTTTATTCCCACCCCAAAACCCTGAGGAGGAGAGAAGTACTAAATGGTTGAGTTGATTACCAATGGCCAATTAAGTCAACCGTGCCTACACAATGTGGCTTCTATATAACCTAAAAGGACTAGGTTCCAGAATATCCTCATTGCTAAATATGTTCCTAAATGGCAGCCCTCCAGGAGAGGGCATGAGAACTCTGTTCCTTCCCACAAACCTTGCCCTATGCATATCTTCCCTCTGGCTTTTCATCTGTATCTTTGGTAATACCCTTTATAATCCCAAATGTAAGTAATGTGTTTTCCTGATTTCTGTGAGCTGCTCTAGAAGATTAATTAAACCCAAGAAGAGGGTCATGGGAACCCTGATGCATTACCATTCAGTTACCCAAAGGTGCTTTATCACTGAGCCCCATCTCTAGCCATTTTTTATATTTTATTTAGTAACCAATAGGTTTTAATGTAACAGAGTAAAAATGTTCACTGATAGAGTTGGATTACATATTGAAATTAACCTTTAAGAGACTTTCGGGCTGGCGTTGTAGCTCAGTAGTGGAATGCTTGCCTCACATATATGATGCACTGGGTTCAATCCTTAGCACTACATAAAAATAAATGAAATAAAGGCATTGTGTCCATCTACAATTAAAAATGTTTTTTTTTTTTTTTACAAAAGAGAAGCTTTCATTTATTGGTTTCTGGTGTTGTGTCAAATGATGGTCACAATCACATATAGAGACTATGAAAATATATTTCCCTTTTGTAACTAGGTACTGTAGGAGGTTGATTTTCTTTATATACATCAAACAAAACAATATATTATAGTAGATATAATATAAAAGCAAATATGAGACTCTTGCTGTCTTAAACCAGGGAATTATATATATATATATATATATACACACACACACACACACATATATATATATATATATATATATACACACACACATACACACACATACACACACACATACATACATATATATGTATGTGTGTGTATAATATACATATAAAACAATGTCAAAACAAAAATGTTTGCTGGGTTTTGGAAATAACAATTTTTCCTATTTTTTGTTTATATTAATATGTTAGCATGTTTTGTATTATTTTAAAATAATAATTTTTTTAGAAAAGAATACTGTAGAAATGTTTTTTTTAACACTGTCATTCCTTTTTCAGAACACAGTTGCTTGAAAGTATTCACATCAAAGTTTTTAAGGATTGCTTTTTGACTAACTTAACATCCTGTACACATACTGCCACACAAAAGGCATTAAAACGGGATCAAGAACTATGATATATAAAACCCTCCTTTACTTATTTGTATAAAAATGCCATCCACACATCTAAATAAGTCTTAAAAGTTATCTGGAGGCTCTAAGTATTGTTTGCAAGGTAAAGAACTCTAATTTGGATTGCATAGATGATAAGAAAGCCAATATATAGATTACATTTTAAAAATAAGTACTTTTATATCGGGCAGAATATGCAATGAGAACTCTTAGAACCTAAAGCAGGGCACTTCAGTTGTTAAAATTAGGAGAGAAATGTTATTCTTTTGGTGATTCCAATCCCACCACTAAATTTATCCCAAGCATTTTATTTCAGTCAGTTTTACAACATTTCTGTTTCTCCACAAGTAACTTCATAATTTTTACTTTAAAATGTCAAGTCATAAATTTTAAACTAAAAAGCAGCAGCAGTTCTTACTATACTCTGTAGTTTAAATGTGTCCCAGTATAGAAGCATAATTTCAATTAATCTGCTGACACTAACTTTTATAAAACTTACAAATATTTAAAACAAGGGGAACAGATTTTAGATAGTCTAGATTTAAAAAGCAGTTGCCTAGAAAATGGAGCCTCCATAACAAAAATGGAAATGTTATTGTCTGCTCATTATATTTCATTTAGTAGCTATATAAGAAAACAAGCTAATACCAAATATTTTTATATTTCTAATGGACATCCACTTTGAAAATAAATCTTAATTTTAATATTGATTTAGTTTCAAATATTTTTCTAACTACCTAGCTCTAATTAAATTCTATATCAGGTCATATTTTATGACTATAAGAAGCATGTACTGAGAACAATTATAAATATTTTAAAGAACTGGTATCCAAATCATTGGGCAAGCCATCTTAAAAACTTGAACATCTGCTAATTATCAACAGGTAATTGTTCTGAATTTTGAGGAACTTCAAAAGCCTCTTCTACTGATTTTCTTTCTTCATCCCACAAGTCTTACTGTTTTCAACCAAAAAAGATTTACAGGAATCAGAGCTTGTTAAATAGAATTGTATTAGTAACAATATTCATACCTCAGAAGATACTCAGTTTCCTCCACTTTGCTTGTTTAAAACCAGGCAGGTCTGAAAAGGTGGTTGAGACATTACACTAAAGATTTTCCTGGGTGTCCAGAAGTTTCCCAACATTCTTTTAGGATAAATGGAGGGGAACAAAACAGGAAAGAGGATCTTATCAGTCATCATAAAATACAGGCTCTGTATTTCTGAACAGAATTTTTACTGTTCTTCTTCTACTTTGCAAGTTACTCACATGACAAATAAGCACCCAAGTACCCCCAGCCAGAACAAAAGTCATTGTCTTTACATTAAAGATCTCTAACTATCATCATTTTGTATCTCAGTTGACTGTAATTTCAGTTAATTTTTAAATAACTTTAGAACCAAGAAATGAAGTGCACCAAACAACACTTATGTAAAAGTGAACAAATTTTAAATATGGGCTAAAAATGACTATTATAGTGAGCTTGATTTAGAAAAATTAAAATTCTAAGTAAATGGGAAATTTCATAGTGGGGTTTCATGAAAATTTTTCTCTGTATACAACAGAATCATTAATAGAGTAGTGAGTCTTATTTGGAATGATCAAACAAAAAATAGAAAAATCACACTTTTCCTGTAAAAAAAAAAAAAAAAAAAAAAAAAAGTTACACATTATATTCTGTAGGGGTAACTATTGTTCATGAAGAAATAAAGAAGTGATTGCTCTGTTGCACACCCAGGAACATCAGGGAATCTGAGCTCAGAGTGTTGTAAGAAGATCTAATGATTTTCTTCCTCTCCATCTTCACCATTTTGTTTCCTCTTCTTCACCCCAAAATATTCTTCTTCATCTTCTTCCTCCTCTTCTCTATCTTCAGCATAGTCATCATCATCATCTTCCTGATTTCTCCTTTTGATTCTCCTTTTTAGAGTGTGGTGCTTCATTATTTTCCTGATCAAATCCATTTAAGTGTATGATTTGCTGCTGCAATGCACACATATTTTCTCTGTAATCTTCTCTGACAGTTAAGAAACTCAAGACCTTTCAAATGTTAAAAATTTAAAAAGTTCCAGTGCACTGAGATTTTGATTTTGTTTCCACTCAGATTGAGGTAGGTAAAATTTGGATATTTCTCTGCCAGTACTTCCAAGTCTTCAAAAATTATGTTGTCAGTAAGTTTTAATTTTCTGTTTGTTTAAGGTGGGAAAGTGTGCCATGAATTTAGTTCTATGTTAGCTAGACTCAGAAATTTTAGAAATTTAAAAGTATCATTCAGACCTTCAATTTCTACATGAACACAGGCATTATCAAGGACTAAATGTGAAAACATTTTAATAACCAAAGCAGGTTGTGAAAATAAATGCTCTCAAATAAGCATTCTCTACCTGAGAATTCATTCTAAGTATATTTATATAAAATTTGTATTTAAAGAGAATGAATAGTCCTTGTTTCCTATAGTCATTGAAACAATTTGAAAATTCTTGAGAAATTTATTATGCATTTATTTTTTCATTGTTGTTTTGATTTTTATTTCCTATTTTAATAATATAAAATATATAATTTATACAGGGGAAAATAAAATTTAACTTTTATTTGCTTGTTTTTAATTTGAAATTAAATTTACTTTTAATTATAAAAACAAAAATTGCACACATTTATTTGGATACCATGTGCTATTTTAATATATGTATGTGTTGTGTAACATATCTACTCAAATATTTTTCATTTCTTTATGAAAATACTCAAAATCCTTTCTTCTAAGTTTTTGAAATATATAGTACATTATTGTTATCTATAGTCATTTTATGTACCTCTTACTCCTATCTAACTATAATTTAGTACCCATTGAACAAACTATCCCCATGTCTTCTTCCTCCCCACTCGCTGCAGCCTCTGGTAACTAACATTCTACTCTCAACTTATGATTTCTGGGGGGTTTTTTAGGTGCTTTTTTTGTTGTGTTTTGGTTTTTTGTACTAGGGATGAAACCCATGGCTTCACCCTGATGGACAAGCGTTCTACCATTGAGTTACATCCCCAACTCCAGTCCTGTACTCTCAACTTTTACTAGATAAACTTTTTTATTTTCCACATAAGAGTGCTGCAATAAATGTGTGAATGCAAATGTCTCTTCAACATACTGATTTCATTTTCTTTGGCTAGATACCAATTGTAGAATGCCTGGATCATTATGATAGTTCTATTTCTAATTTTTTGAGGAGCCCCCATACTATTTTCCATAATTGTTGGACTAATTTACATTTTCCCCAGTAAATACGTGATTTTCTTTTTTTGCATCCTCACCAGCACTTGTTAACTTTAAGTCTTTTTGATAATAATCATTTTTACTAGGGTAAGGTGACACGTCATAGTTTTGATTTACATTTTTCTGGTAATGATGTTGAACGTTTTTTCACAAACCCATTGCCATTTGTATATCCTCTTTTGAGAAATCTTTAGGTTTATTGCCCAATTTTTTAACCAGGATATTTGATATTTTGCTATTGAGTTTTTTTTATCACTCAACAGGTATCAGTTTTTATAATATTGACTTTTCTCCTGTATCTCTGTCAATGAATTTTACACACATACACACACACACACACACACACACACCACAAAGTAAAAAAAAGGGCATGAATAATTATTATTTTTTCTCATTTCTTTTAGCTGTCAATACTACTGATTCTGAAGCTTGTTTAAGAGATGAAAACAGTTTTAGTGTATATTTTATTTATCTTATGCTACAGCTTATTCTGTTCATGATCATATTTATTTTTATGTCTTTTTAAATTTGTTCTAAATAGTAATACATGACAGTAGAATGCATTTTGACACATCATGCATAAATGGAGTATTTTATCCCTCTTCTGGTTGTACATGATGTAGAATTATACCAGTCGTATAGTCATATATGTACATAGGGTAATAATGTCAGATTCATTCTACTGTCCTTCCTACTCGAATACCCCTCCCCTCCCTTCATTCCCTTCTACCTAATCCAAAATAACTCTATTCTTCCTTAGCCCCTTCCCACTTACTATGAATTAGCATCCACATATCTGAGAAAACATTTGACTTTTTCTTTTAAGGATTGGATTATTTTGCTTAGCATGATATTCTCCAACTCCATCCATTTATTGACAAATGCCACAATTTCATTCTGCTTTAAGGCTGAGTAATATTCCCTTGTGTATATATACCACATTTTCTTTATCCTTTCATCTATTGAAGGACACATAGGTTGATTCCATAGTTTAGCTATTGTGAGTTGAGCAGCTGTAAAAATTCATGTGGCTGTATCATTGTAGGCCCAAATCTTTACCATGTCATCCTAGGATCTGACTTCCTTAATAAGACTCCTAAAGCACAAAAAGTAAAATCAAAAATTAATAAATGGGATGCATTCAAACTAAAAAGCTTCTTCTCAGCAAAGAAAACAATTAAGAACTTGAACAGAGAGCCTACAGAATGGAAGAAAATCTTTACCACACACACCTCAGAGCATTAATCTCCAGGATATATAAAGAATTCAAAAAACTGAACACTAAAAAAACAAATAATTCATCAATAAATGGGCTAAGGAACTGAACAGACACTTCACGGAAGAAGAAATGCAATTGATCAACAAACATGAAAAAATGTTCAACATCTCTAGCAATTAGAGAAATGCAAATCAAAACTACTCTAAGATTTTGTCTCACTCCAGTTATAATGGCAATCATCAAGAATACAAACAACAATAAATGTTGGTGAGAATGTGGGGAAAAAGGTACTCTTATACATTTCTGGTGGGACTGCAAATTAGTGCAACCATTATGAAAAGTGGTATAGATATTCCTCAGTAAACTTGGAATGGAACCACCATTTGACCCAGCTATCCCACTCCTCAGTTTATACCCAAAGGATTTAAAATCAGCAAACAGTGACACTATTAAGTTTTTGAGTTCCTTAAATCCTTGTAATAAGCCTAAGGCCTGGACCTAATTCCATCTTCTTTCCTCATGTAGGAGACATCTCTCTCTAAACTGCTTGGAGTTCAGGGAAAGATGACATAAATAACTCCTTCCTGTCTTTTTCAATGCTTCTTTTTTTTTTTTAATGATTATACTAAAACCAGGAACTTTGGTCTTTCACTAGGCCTATATAACTCTTGTGAAAGTAGTTTGGTATGTGAATAGCTGTTCAAATTGCTGTTTTAAGTTTCTCTGCTATCATTTTAATATATTATGTAGTATTATGAAATAATCTCTTTGAGGTCTTCAATAATGTTTAAGCAGATAAAGAAATATCAAAAGGTCTGGGAACTGCTATTTTAGTCAGCTTTTTCCACTGCTATGACTATAGGACCCAATCTGAACAATTTTAAAGGAGAAAAAGTTTATTTGGAGGCTATGGTTTCTGAGGTCTCAATCCATAGACAGCCAGGTCCATTCCTTGGGGCTTAAGGTGAGGCTGAACCTCATGATGGAAGAGTATGGAGGAGGGAAGCAGTTCACATGGTGATCAGAGAGCAGAGAAAGAATCTACTCTCCAGATACAAATATTTCCCACAAAGCCACGTCCCCAGTGCTCACCTCTTCCAGATACGATCACTTAATCACATCAGAGGATTAATTCATTGATTGGGTTAATGCTCTCACAACCTAATCATTTCTTTTCTAAACTTTCTTACATTGTCTTACTTGTGAGCTTTTGGAGGATGCTTCACATACAAACCATAACAACTGCTGCTTTAATGTTGAGAGCTTTAGAACTTGATAGAGCTTTAGAACTTGATCCTTCCTTTAATGATGAGAGCTTTAGAACTTGATAGTAGCAAGGGGGAAGTACAAAAACAAAAACAGGGACCTTTTATTGTTGTATTCATCATACTATAAGAATAATTAGTTTTTACATGTTTTGCCTCAGCTTTTAATACCATTCCTAATAATCATTGTATTTCTACCCTGTGATAATAAAATAAATCAAGCAAAGAGCTAGAATGTATTAGAATTTCCCCCTCTCATGGTCACATTTGTTACCATTAAATGACTCTTATTCATTTAGCAATTCAATCTACAAAATACATTCACATCAGTTTTCAATATCAATTCTTTATTCCACCATTCTCTATCGTAGGTTGAATCTGAAATGTCTCCCATAGGCCCATGGGTTAAAAGATTGGTCCCCACCTTGACACCATTGGGATGTGATAAAAACATTAAGTATAAGCTATTGGGAGGTCTTGAGGTCCTTGGGGCCACGCCCGTTTAGGGGATTGTCAGATCTTAGTACCTTTCTCCTCTTCTCTTTCACTTTCCAGCCATGAAATAAGCAATTTTGCTGTGCCACATGATCCCACCATGATTCGCTGCCTCCCTAAAAGCAACTAATGATGGGCTGAATTCTCTAAAATTGTAAACCAAAATAAATATTTTCCCTGCATAAGTTGATTATCTCAGGTACTTTTCATAGTAACAGAAAGCTGATTAATACATTAGCTTAATTTACAAATGAAGCAAAAATAAAATTACCTTAAAAATTATATATCCATAAATTGGGAGAGCCACATATAATAAATAAGGGAGTATGACAGAAGAAAGAGATAGTGATATTCTTATGGTAAGAACTTCATTTGAATCTATGATATTTGTCTCATGTTTAAGTGAGTTTCCCTGTTTCTTCCTTTACAAAATGAATAATATAATACTTTCATTACCAAGAAGTTGTGAGAATTAACCTAGATAACATGCATAAAGTACCTAGAGCATAGAAAGATTTTCAATAATAGTAGCTATTATCTGTTATTGACTCATACTAGTAAGACGTCAGTTCTGTTTTTAGGGTTCTCGTGTGTCCTTAGCAGATTTATTGCCATGGTTTTGATGATAATAGAATGCTTAGAGTCTTCCTAAATATCAAACAACTGTGGGTAGTAGTCATTTTGAGTGTCCTTAAAAATCAATAAGCCAATTAGAGGTGACAATCTCTTATTATTTTGTGAAATCTTTCTGTATTGTGTTCCTAAAGAGACTGGAAGAAAAGGGGGCTCTCATAAGCCAATTTACCAGGGAAAAGAGCACTTTTACTCAGTAAATTAAAGAACTGAGAGGGCAGCTAGAGTAGGAGATCAGGGTAACATACTTATTATTTCCTAACATTAATTGTGTTTTTAAGAAATTTTGTTCAAACACTTGTAATCCTAGCAGCTCAGAAGGCTGAGGCAGGGGGATCAAGGGTTCAAAGCCAGCATCAGCAACTTAGCAAGACCCTGTCTCTAAATAAAATATTAAAAATGGCTGGGGATACAGCTCAGTGGTAGAGCACCTCTGGGTTCTTACATACTCCACCCCCCAAAGAAAGATGAAGAGAAAGTGCTATAGATGTAATGGGGAAAAAAAAAAAAAACATATTGGACCTTGTAAGTACTAGGAAGTGATCAAAATCACTTCTATAGTTTACCAAATTTAGAGTAAGCAGTGTATATGCTTCCATTTTGCATTGTTAACTGAACAGAATGTCAGTAAGTCTCTATGAATTTGATTCTGCTCACTGAAAAGCACATAATTACACAGAAAAGTAGAATGGAAAAAAGTGGAGATGAGTTACCTAAATATTATTTTACTTTGAGTTGTAGAAAGTAGTCATTTTTTTCCTATGGAATAAATAATGTTAGCAGGGACCCAAAGGAAAATTACTCTTTAGGGTGAAAGCAGAGTGAAAAGATGAAAGATGAATTTTTTAAGTTCAGGTGTTTCAGGCTAATTATTAGTTTATGTTCAAGTATCTTTTTACTATGACCCACAGTACCTCACTTATACATGATCTGACTAAAAGGCGCGCGCACACACACACACACACACACACACACACACACACACGGCCCGCTTGTGCAAGAAGGATTCCCACTGGTCTCTTCTCAAGAAAATTTTCACTCTAACTTCACTGAGCCTGAGATGGCTGTGGTCTTACAAGCTCTGAGATGCCCTCTCGGGAGCTTTATTTGTTTCACCCCTGTGATCAAAATAGCTAACAAGCAACATGGAAGAGGAAAAATTTATTTTGGCTTATGGTTTTAGAAGTTCAGTCCATGATTAGTGGGCTCCAAGGTAGAAATATCATGGAGGTAGAACATAGTAGAGGAAAGCTGCTCAGCCCATAGCAGCTGGGGAAGCAAAGAGATTGACAAAGAAGCTAGGGACAAGATATAGCCCCAAAGGGCATGCTTCCAAAGACTACTTTCTCCAGCCACACCCACTTGCCTACAGTTAAGAAATTGGCAAAGAATCAGAACAGGCATTCCTTTAAGGAAGAAAAGCAAAGGGCAAACAAGTTTGTGAAAACATGCTAGGCATATCACCTCATAGTTCATTCAAATTATTAATTCATCAAATGGATTGATTCACTGATGAGGTCAAAGCTCTCATAATCCATCATTACCTAAAAACCCCACTTCAGAACCTTGATGCATGGATGACCAAGCTTCTAGCACATGGACTTTATGGAGGACATTCTACATACAAACCATAACAATTATTGTACAATATTGTTCTCTCATTCTACTTCATTTCTATATCACATATAAGTTTTTTATTTATTTTAATTAGGTATATATGACAGCAGAATACATTTTGATTAACTGTACACAATTTCAGCACAATTTTTCATTTCTCTGGTTGTACACCTTGTAGCATCGCACCATATGTGCAGTCATACATGTACCTAGGGTAATGATGTTCATCTCATTCTATCATTTTTCCTGCCCTATTCCCCCTTCCTTTTGCCCAATTAAAGTTCCACCATCCTTCTCTTTCCTCCTCCTACCCCATTATGGATCAGCATCCACTTATCAGAGAAAAAATTCAGCCTTTGGTTTTGGGGGGATTGGCTTACTTTGCTTAGCATGCTATTCTTCAACCCCATCCATTTACCTGCAAATGTCATAATTTTATTCTCTTTTAATACTGAGTAAGATTCCATTGTGTATATATACTACAGTTTATTTATACATTCATCTATTGAGTGGCATCTAGGTTGGTTCCACAGTTTAGCTATTATGAATTGAGCTGCTATAAACATTGATGTGGCTGCAGTATTATAGTATGCTGATTTTAAGTCCTTTGGGTACAGAACGAAGAGTGGGTTAACTTGTTTCAAATGATGGTTCCATTTCTTTCCTTTGAATCTCCATGTCTTCCTCTATCCCAATAAATCTTACATTTTGTCTTTTGATGCTATCCCATAATTCTTGGATGTTCTGTTCATAGTTTCTTATCATCCTCACTGAGTGGTCAACTTTATTTTCAAAATTGTACATTTTGTCTTCATTGTGTAATGATCTGTCTTCCAAGTGACCTAGTCTGTTGGTGATGCTTTCTATTGAGTTTTTTAATTTGGTTTATTTTTTACTTATTTTCAAGAATTTATGATTTTTTTCAGAATCTTTATATATTGAAGTAATCTTTTGCTACCTGTATTTACTCCTTTATCTCTTTGTTGGTGTGATCAATGGTTGCCTGTATTTGTTCCCTTATCTCTTTGTTGGTGTGATCAATGGTTACCTGTATTTGTTCTCTTATCTCTTTGTTGGAGAGATCAATTTTTGCCTGTATTTGATCACTTAGGGCATTCTTTTTATTTTGCAGATCATTTTAATTATGTAAATTCTGAACTCCTTCTCTGACATTTCATCAATTGCTCTGTCCATGGATTCATTATTGTAGTATCTTGGTTCGTTTGGGGCACTTTCTTCCCTTGTTTTTTCATGTTGTCTATGTGTCTTCCTTTCTTGCAGTGTGGATCTGAGATATGACAGTTTCTTCCCTATATTCTTGTAGTACCCATGTAGATTGTCTGTCCCTCACCTTGATGTTGGGCTTCAAGACCCTGCTGGTGTCTTTCAGTGTATGCTACTGCAACTAAAGATGGTGGCAGCAATAGCTTAGGTAACTCAAGATAATAGTGGAGGTGCCCCAAGATATATGCAATGTCTTACAGAGATAGGGCTGAAAGAGTGGGCCTTACAATGTCTTTGGGCTGCCTATTTGGACATTAAGCTGTCTCCAGGCATTGTCTGTTCTCCCTAGATGGAGGCTACTGTGTGGGGAAGGCTATGTCCCAAGATGTAGGTGGGCTAGGCCTAGGCTCCAGGTGAGGCTGCAGGTCTGTGGGGGCCTGGGCCCTGGCCCTGGCCCTGTCTGCAGGTAATTAGGAGCCATTCTGGGCCTCTAAGTTTTTAAATTACTACCACTGTTTTTACATCAGACGCTTTTCTAGATACTTCTATCATGTTATCTTATGTTTTGTATCAGTTTTATTAAGCAGGTAGAATTCATTATACATGAAGAAACAACGGCTGTAAGAAGATAACTTGATGAAGGTCACAGAGCTAGAGATGCAATGTGAAGGAATTTGCATAGTGAGATGTCTTGATTTACATTTTAGAAAATCTTTCTGGCTGCCTTCACAGGGGCTTCCTATTGGTCTACAAAGCCACCTTGATTGAGCTCCAGTCTCCTCTTGTGAACTTACCTCACACATCTGCTTCCTTCATTAATCTCCTCCAGTTCCCCTGGCTTTCTGTCTGCCTCTTAAATAAGCCTTTATAATTCATACCTTAGAATTGTTTTAACTGCTATTTCCATTGCTGTTCCCTCCCCAGAGTTCTTTGAGGAAGGATGAGAAGACAAATATTATATATCATGTTGGGTTTTTTAGAACTACTAGAATGTCTATTAATAAGTTTACATGATGACTTTTGTGTATTCCCTTATTCTTTTTTTGGTTCCTTAAGGCAAAGACTTTGTCTTTATCTCCTTTACTTCTATAATACTAATGCCTAAAATGGGTACTCAAAAATACATGTTAAAGAAGAAGAGAGATAATTTTAATCCAAGTTTACCTGATTCCAAATCCTGTGTCCTGCTCAGACTCAACTTGTATCAAGCCTCCTCATTCACTGCCCAAGGATGCCTGTCTGGCTGAGGGTGCCATTAAATAAGCTTTGTGCTCAGAGCTGCAGTTGCCTAAGATGATTCTGCTTTTAATTTGCGAAATGGACCCATGAAGATTGGTCAAGTCTCTGTTATTCCTACTATATGAGGTCACCTCCCAGGAATAATGCTGATTGGTTGGCTAGACCACAATTTAATGACAGAAATTTTCATTAAACTCAGCAGGAGCTACTACTATACTATACAGATAGTTATCTAAATTTAAACATATATTAATCAAAATGAAATTAAAGACTCAGTTTTGACAACTCATGTTCTGGGCACAGTCTCAGTGTTCAACAGCTACATGTGGCTATTCATTATCATCTTAGACAATGTACACATAGAATATTTTGATTACTACAGAAAGCCTTGTTGGAGAGCATGATTTTAAAGTGATGAGAGGTGAAGTTTTCAGAGGTTTACAGGTGAGATTAAAGATGTTTCCTAATCCACTGAATAAAAAGGCTAGTCTGAAACACAGTGGTTCCTTGTGATTCAAACAGGATCTGAGTCTCACATATCAGTTAAAACAAATCTTAGTGCCTAAATAATAATGAACTTCTCCTTGCTATCTTTTTGTTCTCCACTACTTCTAGGACTCCAAGCCTGTCCATCACTGAAGCCCACATACTTGGATTGCCATTTCCCTAAATGGAACTCCTTCCTGTCTTAATGGAAAATTAGTTACTCCCTATCCTTTCTCTTCTTGTCCCAAATTTCACCCCTGATATTATCTTGTGAGGTTGAAGTTCTGCTTGAATTGTGGCAGGTTGTTATTAACTTTATCTTTAAAAAAATTTATGTCACCTCCAAGAATTTCCTTGTTAATGATGGTGTGCCATTTTTAAAACATGTGTCCCTTCTAAATAGTTCCCTGGCCCATTTGCTGTCAACTAGGCATGACTATGACCTTATGTGAGGAAGAACCAGAGGTCAAGGCTGAGCTTCACTGGACCCTACCCAAAGGCAATACTAAAGTGGTGCAGTGGAGAAAGAATTATGAACGTGATGTCATCCAGAGAACTGAAGAGTTGGAGGATGCTAGGTGAGTAGTGCAGGATTATCCTTCACTTGGGGCTGATCACACATAGGAGTCTGAGAATAATGACTGTGTCTTCAAGATCTCATGGTGTATTTAGCAAATCTTTGCAGCATGCATGAGCAAGCCCAAGACCAGAGCAAAATCATCACTAGTGGCAAGAAGCACATACTCTAGGAGGCTAAAAAGTATTGTTAAAATGGAAGAGACTATAAAGAAGTCCAGGAGAAGAAAGAAGCCCCTTTATAGGGGTACAAGTGAAATCTTTATTGAAGATATATCTTCAAACTATGGTCTGAAAACTGGGATATCACTTAAAATACTACATTTTATTTGGAACACCTGAATAATTGAGTATGTGTGTATATAAATATACATATTCATTCATCATAGTTGTGTCTCTGGTGTATAACTTATAGACTAACAAGTGCAGCTCTGTGAAAATGGACAGAGATATTTAGAAACATATTAGCATCTATCAGCCTGCTTTATGGGACAGAGTTTGCTTTGAAAAGAAGTCATCCCCAGGCTACACCTAAGGTTAGAATATCAATTTCATAGCCAATTCCATGAAGAGGTTTTAAAAGTTTCTCTCAGGAGCTATAGAAATTTGGAGACTAGCTAAATGAAGACCCAGTACCAGGGTACAGTACTGAAAATATTTGCTTAGTGGTTGAGAGACTGTATATTTGAGAGAAAGCATCAAACTAACCTCAGCTTATAATCATTAAGGGTTTACTGAAAAGGATGTGTCCCTGGCCTGGTAACTTGGCAGAAATCCAGTGCAGATCAATACATTTCTTTTTAACTTCAACCAGAAATGATGTTTTTTTGCGGTCTTCACCTAAATCGTTGAGCCTCATTACTGTGTAGTTGTGGAACAACTGCTGTGTTCTGTCCCAGAAGGAGTACCAAGTGATCCATCTCTGTATCTGCAGTAACTTAAAAAGGGTTTTGAAATGACAGATACTAAAAATACCTGTGGTAGGTGTTTTACAAAAACTCTGGACCCCAGAAAAATGGGGCTTTGAACTGTAATGCTTCCTTACATCAAATCTGTCATTTGCTTCTAAAGTAAGTGTTTTTTCTTCTAATAATTGAAGATTTCAAGTTGAAGTTCCTGTCATCCTGTTTAATGGTTTCTTTAATGTGTGATGGTTAATCTGGATTGTCAATTTGATTGGATTATGAGTTTCTAGGATTAATACTTCGGGATGTGTCCACAAAAGACACATCCATAGATAATTAGCATGTGGGGCAGCAAACTGAGAAGAGACCCCCATCTAATCTGAATATGAGCATCACAGTCCAATAGATTTGAGTCTCAGTTGGAACAAAAAGCCCAAGCAGGAGGAATCTGAGGCAGATGTAAGCTCTATTCTTAGTGGGTGTGTTGATTGTTGCTGCCGTTATCTGAGAGTATTGGACTCCAGCTCCTTCTCTCTTTTGGTCTGGACTCTGAACATTGATTCTCCAAGGAGTTCCTGGGCCTTTAGTCTTGGACTTGGGCTGCATCATTGGCCCTTTTATCTGAGGCTACAGCTTCTTGGACTGAGCAATTATTGGTTCCTCTGGTTCTTTGGTGTGCAGCCAGAGGTATGTGGGATAATCCAGCTTCTGGTGATGAAGCCAATCTAATAAATTCCCCTTTTTATAATCATACATATAAATATTCTCTTGGTTCTGTTCCTCTAGAGAAAACTTACTAATCTACACATATAGTATACAATGGCAAAGGGAAGACATTCCCATTCCAAAACAGAGTAAATGGGAGCATAAAAAGGGAGGGGGGCCAAACCAAGACAAAAAATTAGGCAGGGCAAATATTAAGTTCATTAACTCCATGTTCAGCATTGAAGGCATGTGGTAGGGAGATGTGGGCCCAAAAGGGCTTGGGCAGCCCTACTCCTATGGCCTTGTTGGTTGCAACCCACATGGCCTCTCTCCTGACCTGACTCTGTCCACAGACTGCAGATATTTTTGGCAGGTGGTCCACAGTCCTCATATTTCTTACTTCTTCAAGTCTCCATTGCAGTGTTGGTTTCATTGTCACAACTTCATGCATCACCCTCTCGGGTTACCCACAGGAATTCTGACTCTGCTACTCTTTGCCTAAAATACCATGCCTTCCTTTGAAATCTCAGTGGAATCCTTCATGAGCTCTTAACTTCAGCATCCTGCATTCCTGCAGAAACAGCACCACATGGAAGATGCCAAGATCTGCTACCAGCTTAAGTAGTAGCTGGGCCTTTTTGAACCCTGGCTGCAGTAGCCTCTTAGTGCCTGAGCAGCTAAGTGTGCCCCCTCAAAATCTCATATATTAGGCAATGTGGCAATGTTCAGAGGTGAAAAGATTGGGTTATGAGAGTTTTAACCTCCTCAATGGAATAATCCATTTGAAGGATTAATGATTTGAATGGATTACTGGTTTGTAATGATAAGCAGGTGGGTGTGGCTGACAGGGGCCATGTCCTTGGACTATATCTTGTCCTTGGTTCCTCCTGCATTCTATGACTTTCTGCTTCCTGAATGTCATGAGCTGAGCAACCTTTTTCTGCCACACCCTCCTCCATTATGTTCTGTCTCACCTCAGGCCCAGAACAATGCACTCAGCCAGACATGGATTGGACTTCTGAAACTGTGAACCTAAAATAAACTTTTCTCCCATGTAAGTTTTTCTTTTTCTTATAGTCACAGCAATTAATAGTTGCCAAACTAGGTGGGTAGAAAAGAAGGAAAGAATATAGACTGCTTTATGACCACATGACTTTGTTTGAACTAGTTTTGTAGGATGTGACAACTAAAGGAAAAGAATAGGCAACATGGTAATATTTGAAGATCCTTTTGATTTAACAATTATTTGAATGCCAAATATATCCCTAAATATATCTAAATCCCCTAGAGGTAGGCAACTACAAATATATTTAGGATCCTATGTTTTTCAGTTTGGAAATTTGAAGATCTGCCTGATTTGCTTTCAGGATGGGGTTCACATGAGTTAGATTAGCAGAATCAAGCTCACCTAAGCCCAATTACTATTTTGCCTTTTAAAAAAAAAATTGGAGTTCAATATTCTTCAAGAATAAGAATTTGGTTTCTTACTCTCACATTTATTTACCTATGCTAAGCAACTAAGTAGGTGCTCATGGTTAGCAAGTTAAACAGCTAAATAGGTAGCTTTTATTAAATATAATATAAAATTATCAGTAATATAAGGGTGACCTGTTTTTTTTTTTTTTTATTTGCCCTGGAATTCCCCAGTTTTACCATTGAAAATCTCATGTCCTGAGTCCCTCAGCATTGTGGATCACCCAAAGTACACTCCTGTTTTCTGGGTACTAATCAAGTATTTCTAAAGTAGTCACAATGAATGTAATTATTTTATAAGACTCCTGTTTTAGGTTGGATAAAGTATCAGGATATCCTCTTAGGAAGAATAAACAGAAAGTGAAGTGACATGGTCAGAAATCCAGTGAGCAAAGAGTTGTTGCTTGAGCACAGAGCCTTCTTGAATGCTGAGCAGAGACTGGTTTTGTAGGATTCCACCCAAAAAAGATGGGGGGGGGGGGTGAGCTTTATTACCACACTGCTCTATTGAGCTCTGTGATGTTTAATTTTGGTTCTTAACTTGGTAGGAATGAGCGATGACTAGAACACTGGTAAAGCACACAAACACTTTGGGTTTGTTTCTGTGCGTGGTTTCCAGAACCTTGTTGGTCAGAGAAATGAGAAAGACCCACACCGAATGTGTGGTCCAATGTTGGTCCAGTGGACTGGGGGACTAGATGGAACAAAACACAGAAGGAAAGGGCAGCTCCCACTATATGCTAGAAACTTCTTCAGTTGAAGTGTTGTTTTGTTTGCTTGCTAGCTGTTGTTTGCTGCCATCATCTCTGGATATCAGATGATAGATTCTTCAACCTTTGTACATGGACTTGCACCAGCCACTCTCCTGGGGCATCCAGGTGTTCAGTGTTAGGCTGGGATTACATCACTGTTCCCTTTTGTTCTGAGATTTCCAGCTTCTTGGGCTGAGCAGCTACTGGCTTCTTCGGCTATCCAGCCTGCAGACAACTACTGTGCAACTGTAAGCCTCTGATTGTGTAAGCCAGTCTAATAAACCCCTCTTATATGTACATTCTACTGTTTTCACTCCTCTGGAGAGCTCTGACTAATGGGACTAGTTGTGTGGTGCATGTTGATTTATGGGGACCTTTTTCAGTTTAATAACAGTGGAGAAGGAAAGCTTTGGCATATACTGTTCCTTTCATCTAAGAAGTGTAATGAGAGAGTAAGAATGGGACAGCCAGCAACCCTGCAGGAGACATAAGCAAGAGAACACATTTCATTCATTAAGAATTATTGAGTGCTGTGTTATGGGGGTGATGGAGGAAGCACTTTAATAAACCACTCTGTCACAGAGGATGCTGGAATGACTAAAGGGTCCCATAAGAGCACTGGGACCTGTTAAGTGGACGTCATGATGGGTGGATCTAGGATGAATAGAAATCTCAGCACAGGAGCTGATACGTAGAAGACATTAAGAGAGAAGAGAAAAATGTGTCACGTTTAGGAGCCAAATGATGAGAGGGTGAGGGAATGAGCAGGAGAGCGTGAGTGTTCCTTGGAAGCAACACAGCCAAGGAGTTCTTTAGAGACTAAGTGTGCCTGAGGATTTTCACATAGCTTACTATTGGTAAGGGGTTCAGAACAATCTTATTTCCCCCATTTCTTACGAAATTGTCAATAAATTATGTATTATTTATTAAAGTTTTAGGGCAAGTAAATATTTATAGGAATTCAAAGAGATTCTGAGTTCCAAGTCTAGGCTTCAAAGAAAGGGGAAATAAAATCCATGCAGTCACAGGAGGCAGAGGACAGTGGCCAGCCGACAACTGGGTTCTTTAGGTAGAAGGAGCTGCTTTTATTTCATTCTATTAAGCCAACCTCTGAGGCCATCCTATTTGGTACCTGAGCCCTGGACAGACTTGATGAGCTCTGTGACAGTTGATGTCTCACATCTCACATGATGTCCTGTGGGCCTGCCCCTCTCAGGAAGAAGCTGGCAATTAGCTTACAGGAGGCTGCTGAAGCCATGCAGGTGGCCAACGCCAAGAATGCCTCTGTGGAAAGGGCCTGGCACCAACTGCATCTTGAGCTGGGGGATGCCCTGTCTGAGCTTGGGAAGGTCTGCTCTGTAGCAGCTGCACTGGACCAGAAGCAGCAGCAGTCTGAGGAGGCCCTTGCTGACTGGGGGAAGCAGAAGCATGAGGAGTCCCAAGCATTACTGGCTGCCTCTCAGAAGGAGGCCTGAGCTCTCAGCACAGGGTCCTCGAGCTCAAGCACACTTATGAAGAGAGCAGTGAGGACCAGGAGACACGGAGGAGGGAGAACAAGAACCTGCAAGGTCCTCTCAGCTGGGCTTCCAACCCAAGCAAGAGCCAGGAGCCAGGAGCTTGGGAAGAGCCTTGGCTACAGAGCAAGGCTGTCTTCTGTGGGTGGAGGGCCTTGGCCTATCCATGTTCCCATTCATGTTCTAATTTTTTAAGGTTTAGGGCTTCATTGTGGCAATTTTTTTCTATACATCTTATTTGCATGAAATTAATTGTAAAAGTAAAACTAGTTTTATGCCTTTAGCTCCAGATCTACTCAGTAAGGAAACCACTCTGAAGAACTTCTTGATATCCATAGCCTTACATAGATTTTCCATGTATATATTCATATGTCTCTTTCAACCAGATTAAAAATTGTTCCATACCTTTTATTCAGTATATTTTATAATTTAACAAATATTTGTATAGCCCATGCTATATTCTAGGTACTGTTTTTCATACAGCTATTCATTGTTTAAGTCTCATAAGAGCCTTGATGTTAGTTTCATGCGTGAAATGGATATTATATTGAGTCACATAAGTAAGGTTAAATGGTTTGGGTGGCTTCACAGTGGATAAGTAGCAGATCTTTGACTTGAGCAGCTGGGCTCCAGGGTGGACACAGCTATGCTCCCTTCCATGTACCTTGTAGTTCATTACATGCCTACGAATGGAAAGCTGCCACATGCTTTAAAAAGCTAGATAGTGTTTCATAATAGGGTTGACCAACATGTATTTAACCTATTTACTTTAGGTCTAAGTTTTCATAATTATAAATAATTCTATATTATATATTGTATACACATAAATATTTCAGCAGAAGGGATTCATAGAAATGAAATAGCCGAGTTAAAGAAATGAATTTAAAAATTGTAACATGCAGCCAATTTACCCCACCACCAATCAATCGCATGATAACCCCAAGGTGCCCTGAAGGCAAGTTTGTTACTACTGCTTTCTGTCTTGACTTCCACAGTCCATGATCACTGACTGGGCTTTGAGGGGTGCTCAAATACTGGATAGAAAACTTCAGCTACATCCAAACCTGGAGGGTTTGTTGTAACACAGATGGCTGGGCACAACCCCAAAGTTTGATTCAATAGGTTTGAAATGGGGCCTGTGAATTTGCATATCTAATAAATTCCTAGGTGAGGCCTATACCAGCTGATCTGAGGACCACATGTGGTCTAGAGTGAGCCTTGGAGTTTGGGCTTTTCTGAAAAGCTCTTCAAGTGATTCTAAGGTGCAGTCAGAATTGAGAAAAGCTGCTCTGAGTTTTCTCTGAGGAACCGTTCTTTGGATAGGACATATGTGAAAAGGGAGTATAATTTACATGAAAATTCTCATCTAATGCATTGTTCTGTACTTCTTAAAACTTTTGTCATATCTTACTCGGGCACACCTATACTCCCAACTGCTCAGGAGGCTGAAGCAGAAGGATCACAAGTTCAAGGACAACCTGAACAACGTAGTGAGATTCCGTCTCCAAATAAAATTTTAAAAAGGTAAGCGTATATCCCAGTAATAGAACACTCTGCTGGCATACACAAGGATCTGTATTCAGTCCTCAGTACAGGGGGAAAAAATTACACATTTCACCAGTTCCAGATCTCAGAACTAGAACAGGTAAACTCCTGGGCTCTCTCTACTCCTCAGTGTGAGGTAATTTCCAGAGATACAAGACCTACACTATACTAGGCCGGTATAAGGTGGCAGAGGTTTTGTGACTTCTGGAAGCCTCTGTCACAGGCTGTGTTCATACTAAGATAGCCAAAACTTTCAAGTGCTTGAGTTGAAGTCACTGTCTTTCCTGAGCCCCTTGTGTTCATCTAGCCTATCTGAGGCCATGCGTTGGCTGCTGGCAGACAGTGACCACCTGATGCTTTAAGGTCTTGTTCTAGTGTTAAGTGGTGGCTTACACTGTGTTGACAGCTAAGCACTTCCACTGGAAGTGTAGGGATTCCAGGTCTGTGTCTGGGTGTACTTCCAGGTAGACTCTGAAATGGCTCTAACAAGCAGAACCACCCTGCAGAGTGCACAGGCTGTCCAATGTCCCTGACTCTAAGAAGCACCATCCTTCCCATTTGCTGACAGTTTCCTGGCAGATGGCAAAAGAATATGTAGACAAAGGGATGCCTTTTTCTAATTGTAACACAGATCCCCTGTGAATTAATGGTGGCTCTACTATCAAGTTTCCAAAGGATTACATGAACATGGTCCCAGCAGGCCTCTAGGAGTATTCGGATGTGCTTGTTATCATGGGTCTGAGGCTGAGCCCTCTCACTCACACTGCTATTCTTCCCTCTCTCCAGAACAGATTTCTAGCCTGACAAACCAGGATAGAAAAGGGACCCAGACTTTAACTGAAATGGAAAAGGTCAAGAAACCGATTGGACAAGAAAAGATTGAAGCCCAAGTGACACTAGAAGAAAGGGAGGTATGATCTTGGGAAAAAGGAGGTTTTTCCCACCAAGCAAAAGAGAAAATCTGCAACCATATCCTGACACTGGCTTAACTGATTACTACATGCTGGGCACCATGCCAAATGCTTGATATGCATCATTTTAGGTAATCACCCCCTAAAAACTATTTTTCCCATTTACAAAGGAAGAAAATGAGGCCCAGAGATCAGGATGAACACTAGTGAATACAAATCTCCTGATTCTAATGACTAGAGCAACTGTGGCTATCTTGTTCCCCCGTTTATCCCCAGTGCCTATACTCTTAGAATGCAGCCTAAGGACAAGTGCCTGGGCACCACCCAGGAGCTTGTGGGAAATTCAGAATCTCAGACCTCTCCCCAGCTCCAGTGAATCAGAATCTGCATTTTAACTAGATCCCTTGATGTTTCCTATGCAGGCTAACATTGGGGGAAGCACTGGCCTGGAACCCTGCTGGCCTATAGGAAGAGCTCAACAAGTACTCATCCAAAGTTGAAAGAATATATACCCTCCTAGCTGCACACCTTTTAAATAGAGTCCATCAAAGACACTTTCCCTCAAAAAAAAAAAAAAAAAACAACTTTAGTTTTTCCAATGAAATTACCAGAGATGTTCTCAGATATGTGCTTCTACAGTTTTTCAGGAATGTTTTCAGTGTTATGGACTCAAAGTTCAGCAAAAGTCTCTGGCTTTATCCCTGAGTGTGTGAGAGAGATTGAAAGGGAGATCTTTTTCCAAAAATGATGCTGAACTAAAAAGGGAGTTGTGCTGTGACAGTTATGAGGTGTTATAAAAGCCCTAAAGGGCCTTTTTCCTCCCAGCTGAATTTCATCAGTTTGACTCAACCTTCTGAATAGACACAAGGACACTATTATTCAGCCCCTAATAGCACATGCCTGTAATCCTAGTGAGATTCTGACTCTAAATACCTCAGTGGTAGAGCAATTGCCTAGCTTTCTCAAAGCCCCTGGGTTAAATCCCCAGTACAGGGTGTGTGGGGGGGAAATATATATATCCATATATTTCCATATACATATGGAGATATATATGTGTGTGTGTATGTATATATCTACCTGTCTACTCACCTACTCACCGGTAGAGAGAATGATTTTTTGAAAGTGTAACAGCCAGTCAGTTTGGGGAAGGGAACTTTTGGAAAATATAGTAATATAAATTTAGACCTAAAGAACTGCACTGGACAAGCATTGTCTGTTAAACCTCATCACTGCAATTCTGTAAGAAAGCTGTGATGCAGAAGAAGGTAAGTCCACATTACCCTTTATGAAGAGTTTACAAGCGCACAGCTCTTGCTTTTTTATGCACAAATGTTGCCTGAGATCATCCTCATTTTATATAGAATCCCTTCAGGTGGCAGTGTGGTGTCTGATAGCAAGTCTGGTTCTTGTACAGTTGAGGCATTTAGTTTCATCTAGTTGTTATCTTTGGCCCTCTGCATCCTGCCTGGGGGCTTTCTGAAGCTACCATCCTAACTAAAAAAAGTAAATTTTATGGTATAAATTTAAACATTATAACAAGACAATGAGAAATACATTGAAAGAGGTGATTTTAGTCCTATGTAACATACAAGCATCTTTGTATATTGAATCAACCAGGACTCACATCAAAGGTGATGGCTTAAGACCACAGCGCTCATACCATTTAGTACCACTAGATGGCAATGCGTGCTATTAGACTTTTCTCCAGTTGTATCTTCAGCCACATCATAAATACTTCATCCATTTGGACATATACTCTTGGCTTTGGGTTATTTCTTTTCCTGGTTGAGCATTTGTGAAAAACATTATTATTTCTTCTTTTAATTCCATAAAACTCAAATTATCACAGGTCACCTTCTCTACAAAGATTCATTTCTCAGGGTATTCTAGAGGGTTAGAAGTGAAAGTTTCCTCCTGAAGAAACTATACCACTCCCTCAGAAGAAATTGCCATCCAACCATTTTGATTTCTTTTCTATTGAAGGTAGTGTTCAAAGACTATCAAAGGAGGCCTTATTAAAATTTCTAGTCAATTTTACTTTTTACTTTTGATGGTATGTGTTAATCACTCCTCAGAGCAGATTATAAAACATTATCGGAAGTTTCCACTGCCCTCAGAACTGTCCAGAGTTAACTGACCAACAGAGCATCATGCTTATGCCCTTATATAACATTAGCATGCTCCATGTGTGTGTTGCTTCTTCTTCCTTTATAGACATTTTATCTGTGAAACAAACTTTTAAATATTTCTTCAAACTTACACTGTTAGCATTGAATCTCCTTTAAAACATCCCTGGAAACAATTCCCTGACCTAGGCAACAATCAAAGGCTCAGGGGATCTCCCCATGTGTCACAAGAATCCATTTGTAGTAATAGTACTCATTTAGGTAACAATGGCTCAAACTTAATGCTATGTGCCTAGTGCATTCTAAATTCTTTTATTTGTTCTTTATATGACAATATTTGGGCACTATTCCATTTCTTGTTCTCTGAACACATTCAGCTTCCAACCTTCTGAGATGTTGGAATTAAAAGATATAAGGTGGTAGTTTTGTCCCAACTTTGATACATTTATTGATTCACCCTGAAGATGGAATATGTTAGAAAAAGTCAAGAGTAATAAATGTAAGCATATAAATATGTTACAGACAAGATTGAAAATTTCTATTTTTAAAAATTCCTTAGAATTCTTGTTCTTGAGCTAAGCTGAAAGACCTTAGAATGTCAAAGCTGTTAGTGAAACGACAAAGCAATCATTCATTTTTCATGTCACCCAGTTCTCAGGTACCTGATTTAAACCTAGATCTCTCTCAATAAGTGTTGTCCAAAATAATACTTCATTTAATTTTTTTAAACTTATTCCAGGGAGCTCTGGAAAATAATCTGGAAAGCAAGATTCTTCATTTCCAGTTAGAACTCATGGAAGCTAAAGCAGAATTTGAAAGTTTTAGAGAAAGAGGAAGAAATAGAAAGTTTTAAGTAACTAAGATTATTTTGGAAAAGACAATAGTTATGTATTTCAGGATACTTGAATGAATAGGACTCACTGTGTTTGGCTGCTTTTCTGACCTCTTTTGGGATGTTACCAAAGAAACTAACACTGTAAGGGAATCTTCCATTAAATGCACTGCTATTAACACAAGGGGATACCTTCATATAATTGTTTTAAATTTAATCAGCTTCTGCTCTCAGATGTGACTCAGGATAACACATTCTTAAAAAGTGATGTATAAGGACCATGTGTACTATCTGGGTCCCCTGTGTCAAGTCTCTTCCTTCAGCATTCAAGAAACAGACTGAAAATGCTGAACTATGGAGGAAAGAACTAAAAAGTCAGGTGCTGTATGTTAAGTAACATCAGAGCAGAGTGAGGTTTTCCCATACCCCTGCCTGTACACTTAGCCATTTGTTTGGTGAGGGCAGAGCCCATAGCTAAGAGCCTTATTGAATCTCTGTTGAAGCAGCTGAGTCTTAATAGGAAACTCAATTGGATGGGACTCAGGCACTTCTGAATCTTTCCATAACTTCCGTATAACAAGCTGATGACTGTTGACATCCTATTTCTTAGCTTCTTGGGAAAGTTAGGGAATAAAGAATAACCCACATGTTACAGAAGGTGGTAAGGAAGATCAGCAACCTGGTGATGGCAAAGCATTTCACACTCTACAGATCAAAGGCACAATTATAAACATGGAATTAATGATGATTATATTATCTATCTGAACTGTTCCTTAAGTCAAAGCTGTATGTCAGCAAAGAAAATCATTAGTCAGAGGTTCACCTGGAAATTTATTTTCAATGTGTTTGATTAAAAAAAAATTAATCCTGTTAACATGTTCAATTGACCACAGTCTGTTTTCTGCCCAAACTCCTATGGGGTCCCTATTTAATGAGAATGTCAGGTCAAATTTGGCCCTCTCTGAGCTTTGAGTTATCTTTGCTATCACTCACTGGCATTTTCCTTCAGAGAACTGACTACAGTGAGAAATTCTGGTCTACTTAAGAGGCTCTGAGTCACTGTCTAAAAGAATTTTTTTTGATGAAGGCAAAATCTTTGGGCCTTGATGTTTGTCCTACTTCCTTCCACGAGGAACAAAAATGAATGTCTCCTTTGTGTACTTAAGAAAAAAAAATGTGACTACAGGTAACGTCAAATTCTGTGCCTATAAATAAACCCAGTTAGGAAAGAATGAATCCTCAGAGAGTCTGTGTCTCATCAGGCACATCTGAATGCCAGAGAGCAGTTCACCAATTGTAATAATCTTAGTGCTTTGGAAGCTAGAGATCCACACAGCTAAGGTTAAGAAAAGAAAGAACCAAAGACAGTATTAGTGGTGAAGGTCCTGGAAAAAGAAGGGGCTGGCTGGAGGCGTTGGAGATGAGCTCTACCTAGTTTTAGTTAATGATTCATAGTAGCCATAATAAGTACATCTGGCATCCAGAAAGGAAAGATGAGCATATTTTCCAAAATATCCTGTATACAATTCCATAGCATATCTGCTCTGTGAGTGCAGATTCTATCAAAATGCCTTGGTCGAATCTGACTTCAGGACTAGGAGGAATCTGAGTAGACTGCCAGGGCTAATGCACAAGCATCAACTTCCAGGTAATCCAAAGTAAGCTGGAAATTATAGAGCTCAAAGAAAAACCTTCCTGAGAGAAGAAGAGGTTCAAGGTCCTACATCCACATAAACCATCAGCCTCCAGCTGAGCAATCTATTAAGGCATGACCCAGGGAGTTGAAGGGACCAGGAAAGCAGAGGAGAGACCCACAGGAAAAGACCAGACCCTGGCAGTGCAGCTGACTATGAGGCCCTCAGCTCCTTGGCTGCTGAACTTGTTCTTAGTCTGGTGAGGACTAATCCTGAGTGAGCATCCCAGAGACCTGCTGGTGGTGTGTGTGTGATATAGTTCACTAATTTGCAAATATTGGAGCTCTATGTTGGCAGGATATCGGGCCTACTATTCTAGTTACGGCTTCTTAAACTTTTATGGATGATACAACTATTTCATGTTTTATTTCTACAAATGTTACTATTGGCATAGCTAGAGAGGGGGAGGTGACAGTGCAGTCACTGATGGAAGAACTTGGAGCTTTGGTGACTGACTTTGATCCTCTCCCTCCTACACACAGGGGAGGAGGCCAGCTTAAAGGCAAACTGGTGTCCATCATTGCTGTGGAGTCAACCCCGACCACCATGACTGGCCTGCGAACAAGGTAGTCACTTTCATCCTGTCCCAGTGTTTCCCTGAAATGCTCAAATGGGTGAGAGTCATTCCACTGGCCTAGAATCCTGACACTTGGTCCATATACTACTCTCCACCCAGGGAGGTGCTTTGGGGAAGGAGGCACTGAAATTTTATATTCTACCAAAATACATCTGTTTTGGTTTGATTACCTGTGGAAGGGATGGGCAAACATTTTCTGTAAAGGGTTAGATACTAAATATTTTTAACTCTGTGAGACACATGTTCTCTGTGGCAACCACCCAGCTTTGAGGTTGTAGTTTAAAAGCAGTCCGTCGAATGGGCACCATGGGATTTGGCTCACAGCCCATGGTTCTCCCACCCTGGTCTCAATCTTAGTTTAAGTATCTAGTGATGCTCCATCATTTTTTCCTTTCTCTGAACTCAATTATATCAAACTTTGCCACATGGTCTCAATTTATATGCACCATTTGATTTAATTTTTAATTGTCTGACTGAGTCTGTCAGGAGAATGTTTAAATTTCTTCCCATTTCTAAGAAAATATTTTTCATATCTTCAGAAAGTAGGGTCTCATTCTAATATGGTTAGCAAAAATACTTCATAGATCATTTAAAGGGGAATCACATGTCTTTGGATTATTGAGAATCTCATATTTCTGTGATACGGATAAGCAACAGTGTGAGAAGATAAAAGAACTAGTAAACTGCCTTTAAAATCACTAGCTTTTCAAATTTTAAGTTTTAATGTTGCTTGGATTTTTGTTTTTGTTTTCTTCATTTAGTTTCTTACATTTGAAAAACAAAAAGGAATGTCTTACTATATCATCATAATCTTAAGTGCTTTGTTTTTCTTAAAAAAAAAAAAATGTGCTTGAGAGAGTTCTCATTTTAAAGATTTCTTGACCAGGCATGAAATGTGTTGATTGTTTAGCAGGCATTCTTCAGGGCTGTGCCATTTCCATTCCTCTTAAACCACAGCATTGTTTGCTTTTGCAGACACTCGTGACGTTTCATAGACAACTGTGAGGAAACTTGTATCTGAAACAGTTTGTCGGCTGCAGAATGTGTTTCTATGCAGAGGATCTTGACACCAGGCCAGCAATGCTTTTGTCTTCCTGTGTAGGGACAGTCGGTTGCAGCAAGAATGAAAGCCTCTGCCATGGAAATCAGAGGAATGTCTTAAAGCTTTTAGTGATGTGGAGTATGAGTGTTGCTACATGAGTTTGCAAGAGCTGTCATCACAGAATACAAGGACTGTGTAGATTACAAAATAGATATTGATTTTCTCACAGTTCTGGAGTTACAAATTTGAGAAGAAGGGATTGCCAGGCTTCATGTCTCCCAAGGTCTCTGTCCTTGGCTTGTAGACATATGGCCGCTTCTTTCTTGGACTGTCCCCACATGGTCTTTCCTCTGTTTGTACACAGTCCTGGTGTCTCCTCCTCTTCTTATAGGGACACTAGTGCTGTAAGATTAGGGACCCACCCTAACAGCCTTGTTTCATCTCAGTTACCTCTTTAAAACTCCTGTCTCCAAATACAGTCTCATTCTGAGATACTGGGGTTTAGGCTTCAATATATGAATTTAGGAGATAAACATTTCACCCCATAAGAGTTCCTTTTAACTTATGGAGACCTATAGGATTCTTCACTGGGAGAGGCATGAAAGCCCAGCAGTCAAGGACAGGCATGAAAGTTTGACCTAAGTTTGTGAGAGCCAGAGTGATGGGTTGGCAAAGGAGTGGTCCTAACCCTGGGCTCTGGAGCCGTAAGGACTTGTTTCTCACAGATTTCCATAACTCCTATGAGACAACCCCACCAACATAAGGAGAAAGGTGGTCATGAAAAGTAGGGCCCCAACCTGTGACCAAATGGCAAACTCTGATCATTGTCCTGCTCCCCTGCAGGCTGTGTGCCTCCCTGATCAGCCTCCGAGTTCAGCTCACAGGCTCCATGACAACTCATTATGGAGTTTCATTCTGACCCCAGATGAATGCATTTCTGATGTTTGTTCTGAAAGACTTCCTCATGAGGAAGAATGAAAGAAAGAAGGGCTCCTCCCTTCTTTCTTTTATCTTCCCCATCCAGCACTAGATCCCTGTTTCACAGTGTGAGCTTAACAGGGCACATGTTAGTGATAGCAGTTAAATTGTTCTAATGAATAACCACAAAATTTTGGTAGCTTAAAACAAAAATTTGGGTTTTTCCCAAGTCAGAGTCTAATATAGGTCAGAATTGAAAATAAGCCATATAACTTGCTTCCACTAGGCACCAACTCCTAAAGATTTCACTTCCAATAGTGTCACAGATTGGTGACAAGTTTTTAACATATGGGCCTTTCGGGGATACTTTAATGACAGCATGAGTCTAAAGTGTTTTCATTTTTTAAAGAGCAGGTGAGGGGATAGGTTGGTGAATCTATGTCTATCATAACAGATTAAATAAGATTTCCAGACCAATCCCAGCCCACCCCCAAGTGAAGCACAAGAATCTTTTATTCCTGTGGGGTATTCCTAGTCTTCTCTGAGATCACCTTAAGAATTATTCAGGGCAAATATCTGGATTTTAATTCCAGAAGTCAGATTTCTTCTCAATTGTGATGTTATAGATATGGAAGAGAGAGTTCAGGACTCGCAGAAGTAAAAATGTGCATGGCCAAGACTTGGAATGGTGCACTTCACTGTGGCCCCAGTCCACTAGCTAGAATTAGATCACATGATCCCCAACCATCTGCAAGAGTGTTGGGAAATGAAAATTGCCTAGGGTGTCCTCCTTTTATCATGGTTTTCCTGTACACACAGCAGTTGTCTGAGCTTCTGTCACTTTATAAATATGGTTTCAGCATAATATTTTGCTTCTTTTGAAGGAATATTAAAACAATTTAATATCACATAGTAATTCGTTTTCTCAAACTCCTAGAGAAAGAGAACTATGCTATCATAGGATAGTTAGTGGCTACAGGCCATTAGGATAGTATTCTGGGTCTCAGAACTTACTCCAAACTTGGTAGCTCTTTTTTGCCCAGTTCTGACATTTTTCACCATTAAAAGTAACGGGAGAGTTGCCATATGGGCTGAATCCAGCAAGGTCATGGGGCAGGGCTGTCCAAGTCCCATGGGGTCACATGAGGCACCCCAGATGCCATACTTAGAGCTATAGGATTTAATGTTTTGCTGCTACTTTTCAGCCTTACTTTAATTCCTCCTAATTTTGTCCCTAGTCTTCCCTTTAAAATAGAGGAGTTCACCTGTGTCATTGCATCTCAGAAGTACATAATTATTTTCATCTTTATGGGGGCTCATAGTACAGGTTTCCTAAGTCTCAGAGGAGACTTTGGACTCAGACTTTGGAGCAATGCTGGAACTTGTAAGACTGTGGGGACCCATGGGGATGCACTAAATGGATTTTGTGTAATGAAATGGATATGAGACTCTGGGAAACTGAGATGGAATGCCATGGTTTGAAATTATTCCACAAAGGCCAATATTCAAGGCCTGGCCACCAGTCTGTAGTGCTCTTGGAAAAGGGTGGGGCCTTTAGGAAGTGAGGCCCAGTGGAGGAAAGGTGGGACCTTAGAGGCATGCCCTTAAAGGGGATAAGGGGACCCAGACCCTTACTCTCTTTTGTCTTTGCTTCTTGGGGGTCATAGGTGAGCAGATTCTCTGCTGCATGTGCCCATCATGATGTACTATGCCACCACAGGTCCAAAGCAACAGGGTCAAGTGACTGTAGATGGAAACCTACTAACTTGTGTGTCAAGATAAACCTTTCCTTCTAATAAGCTGATCTGTCTTAGGCATGTGTTACAGCAATGGAAAGCAGAATAACAAAACTAATTTTGTTAATTGCCTGGAATTTTTCTTGAGTTTTATTTTTTTTTTCAATTTTTTTAAGCTGTTGTGAACATAGCAGGCAACTTTTCTTAATTTGGGTGTGTGATATTTTTCCCCAGAATGTCATTCTAAAATTAGGCAGAAACAGCAGTATGCTATTGAATCCCTTCAGTCTAGTCTGAATTCTGAAGCCAAGAGCAGACTTGAGGCTACCAGGCTGAAGAAGAAGATGGAAGGGGACCTGATGGAAATGGAATGCCAGCTTCACTGTGCCAACTGGCAGGTGTCTGAGGCAACCAAATACCTGACACAGCTTCAGAGTCAATGAAGGTAATATAGGGTGAAGGTGAAATGCAAACTAAGCAACAGATTGTCCTGAGAAATAAAGCTTAGGACAACAAATTTCATCCTGTAAGAGAACAAGAGTATGCTTAAATTAAAAGACGCAGAACTCTGCTCAGAGCCTGTATGCCAAAACTCAGACAGGTCTGTGCTCTAGGCCCTGATTTTCTCTTGCAGGACCTTCAAGAGCAGCTGGATGACAGCACACACCTGAACAATGGTCTGAAGGAACAAGTGGCTATAGCTGAGCAGCACAATTCTCCTCTTCAGTCTGAACTAGAGGAACTAAGGTCCTTGCAAGAACAGACAGATCATGGGCTCAGACTGGCAGGCAAAGAGCTCCTAGAAGCCTCAGAAAGAATCAGTCTTTGCTATACCCATGTGGGGTCCATAAACTCTCCCTATTAGCTGATTCAGTTGGTTGAAGGCAGCAGTTTTTATCCTTGGGTCAGCCTTAAGCCACGCACAGTTGCCTTGTCAAGTCCTGGGAAAGGCATGAGAAGCACAGGGAGAGCCCGTGCAGCAGAGCAGTGGTCACACTGTTCAGTCATCAGCACTGGACGCTGGACATCTAAAATCAAGGTGTCCACAGCTCCCTCTGAAACCTGTAAGATAATCCTTCCTTGCCTCCTCCTGGCTTCTGTGGTTTGCTGGTCACCTCTGGCATCCCTTGGCATGTGGGAGCATCACACCAGTTGCTTGCCTTCATGTGGCATTCCCCAGTGACTGTTCACCTCATCCTCCCTCTGGTCTTTCTCTGTTAAAATCTCCCTTTCTATAAGGACCACAGCTTTATTGTTTAGGACCTACCCTAATAACCTCATTTTTTAGCTTGATTAATTCTTTTGAGGCCCTATTTCCAAACAAGGACACAGGCTGAGAAATTGAAGTTTGGAATTATAGCATATCTTTTTGGGAGAGAGAAAATTTGACTTATAACACTGACCCTTCTACCAAAAAAAAAAAAAAAAAAAAAAAGGACTGTCAAGGGATTCACAGCCAGGATTCTGGGGAGAGAGGAATGAACATTTCCTAATATTTCAGAGGCACTTGCCTGGTTATAAATATCTACTGACAGATATGATAATCTGCTAGTGCTCTGGGTACTTGTGTGAAATTATGTAAGTAAAAAAGCAAAATTCTCAGATCCTTCATCATTATTCCAAAAGCAGGAGAAGCCATGGTGGCTAGGACATTTATATAGTCAACAGGTCAAGAAATAAGTATTTTAAGATACCCCCCCATCCCCTGAAAATTTAGCTCAATGTAGATACAAAATGTCTCCACTGTCTTCAAAGATTGACCTAAGGGAACAGCTTAAGAGCATTGCTATGAGTTTGATGCTGCAGACAGCACATCCTGCAGAAGGCACTCCCTGGCCATCCTGGACTCCTTAGGTAGGGGCAGAGTCTTCTTCAACTGAATCAAGAAGTAAGCCGAGAATATAGAAAAGTCAGGGAGAGGCATGCAGGAGAGGGAATTTAGGATTTTCAGGGAAATTCACATACTAGAGCACAGGTTCATTAGGACAGATGAGTAGAAATGATGCCAAGACACAGGCAGGGCCATGTCACCAGGGAACTTGAGTCTGAAACTGCTGGAGTTTGAATTTTATCTGCACATAATGAGGATCCACTGAAGAATTTTGAGTAGCTGAGGGTGAAATTATCGGGTTTACATTGATCAGATATACATTTTAGAAAGTTTACTCTGGTGTTTGTTATGAAGTATAGATTAAAGAAAATAGGGACAGAACATTCATGTTCTGGGGAGTTTAGAAACATCTGTGGGGTCCTTTTAGTTGCCATGGTGACTGGAAAGTACCACATACATTTAGTGGCAGGGTCCAGAGATACTAAAACTCCTTCAAGGTGCTGGATAATCCCATATCAGAAAGAATTGCCCTTTATTGTGCCTGCAGTGAGTATATTAAAATAATGTGTCAACTGTAATTGTTTCTGCTGAAAGGTGTTGGTAGTAGTTTGTACCTACAGTTTGACTTTTGTATTCATGTGGGTGATACAGTCCCTTTGGGTACCATGGGGTATAGAACAAATAGGCCATAAGTTATGCATAATTCCCAGCAGAATAACTCACCTGAACATTTTCTTAAGAAAGTTTGTAACCAAAATGAGTTGAATTTTTTTTTGAAGTTTATAACATCAATTTTTAATAATTTATGATAAAATACTTCCTGATCCTTGAAATTATAGTGAAAAAATTAAATGGTTACTTTTAGAAAAAACTTTATTAATTTTTTTATATATGACAGAGAATGTATTACAACTCATGTTAAACATATAGAGCACGATTTTTCATATCTCTGGTTGTATACAAAGTATATTTACACCAATTTGTGTTGAGTGAATTCTTATAATTCTTATAAAAAGTAAATCATCCATTGTCTACATTACTTAATAACTATTGGTGATAAATCACTTGCCATGCATGTTTAAACTGACACTGTACTATATGGGTCCCAGTGTGATGAAAAACTACCATGACATGAAGAAGACATCAACCAAAGGGTGGTGGGGGGTGGTGAGGACAAAGGAGGGGAGGATTTGGGGAAAACTTAAAATAAGTCTCTGGAGACTGAGTGTACAAGGCAGATTTTTCTGAAACTTAGGTGGTGAGAGTCACTAACAGAAAAGTGCCAGTTCTCAGATGCTGCACACCTACTTGACAAGTTCTCAAGTGCTCCTCCTGGTCCCGAGCACTATCCCTTAATATTATCCTGCTTAGAACAAACGTGAGCTGAATCTTATCTTTGTTGATAGCATATGCCCTCTTTGCAAACCTGAGCTGTGAATGACCCTCCTGCACAATACTCCCTAACCTCTTTCCTACTAAAACAGAACCAGTCAGAGATATTCTGCTTGTAAAGGTTTTAAACATCTCCCTGGTTGATTTTAAATTATTCAGTGTGCAAACAAATCAGTGTTCATGTGTGTACCTTCCTTTACAAAGAGTTCCTGTGGAGTTATGTACAGTGAGTATCCAGAAAACCCTCCAGGAAAATATACTTACTGGTTCCCTGCCATGCTCATGGCCATGGAAATCATGGATGCATAGGGCCTGGTTGTCCTCAGGACAGAGGGGCAGTCTTGATGATACTTCCTGTCATGCACCTATGTGGCTGGAATGTCTATTTGCAGGCCTTAACCCTGCCACTGAGAGAGGCTCTAGCTAGAGGAAAGTGAAAGGATGAAATGAAAGGAGAACCGAAAAATCGAAAGCCTGTGCCTTTTATACACACTCTCTGTACTAAGGTTTCACACCCTCTGAAAAGCTGTGCCTCAAACACAGAACAGATGCAGCAAGGGGAGATTTGGCCTCCAGTGTCACAATTTGGGCAGGAAAGAATTAGGGCAGCACCAGGTGCAGAGCACAAAGCTTCCTCCCTTTAATGGGTGTTCCTAAGGGCTGGGGACTGAGACTTTTGTGAACTACTTTTTCCTCCTCCTCCTCCTCCTCCTCCTTCTCACTGTAGAGTGGAACAGGGAAGCAGGTGGATAAAGAATAATTTCTTCTTCTGTGATGAAATGGCATGCCGGGGATCATGATTTTTATTCTCCAAGACCCTGATCCCCAGATACTTTTAGGTGACCATGATTTCACTCTTAGATGTTTTTCTTTATCACAGTGAAAAGCAAAAGGCAGGAAAACATTCCTCAACAAGTTGACAGCCAAACCCATGTTATTAGAGATCCATTTCTCCTTTCTGATGGAGGCTACCATCTCTAGTCTTGAACCTCTACATTGATGAAATCCCTTCCATTCAAGTGTGCCCTGGATGGCAAATCACCTGGGGCTGGAGGTCTTGCTTAGCTGTGTGTGGATGACTATGATAAAATTTGCTCCTGGTCTGAGCTGCCTCCCACTGTGTGTCCTGAACAGACCAGCTTGCATTTGTCTTGGGGTTTCAGCTTGCCAACAGGAATGCTGCTTTTCCTCAGAACACAAGCCTCCTCAGCCAGAAGAAGAATATGGAGGCTGATGTTGCTCAGATTTCAGAAAGAAGGAGAAGAGATGATACAGATGTGTCAAAAGGCAGAAGAGAAGACCAGGAAGGCAGCCATGGAGGTGGGCCTATTACCTGTCTGCTCAGTCCTGTGATCCAGAGTTCACTGGAGCAGGAGCCCAGATACAGGAGCCCATGTACAGTCAAAAAGATTCCATTGATTCCCTGCCGCATCAGGAGGAGGTTAGGTGACCCCTCTGCCTCCCTGTGCTCAATTTGAACAGCTAGTCCAATTACCTCCTCCCTTCCTACCTACCCTGGCACTAAAAAGGAGCAGTTGAATTATCTTAAGCAGAAACTTGTGATAGCAAGAGCCTTTTTAAAAAAAATTTAGTCATTTTCTGCTTGTGAATCAATATATCTATTTCTAGAAACCATTCTTCCTGTGGTTCCCTGCAAATAACTATTTTTTTCTGGGGCCTATAATCGTTTTATGATGAGGATCTGAAAACAGTGCTTAAGTCACTGATGTTTTTACACTACACACCCCTGCTTAGGTAGAAAAGTCAGACTTGCAAAGAGAGCTACAGGGCTGGTATGCCCTCTTTATAATGCAAATTTAAATTTGTTGTTGGTGGTGCTTCTCCTAAATGCCACTTAATCTGCCAGCCTCAATGTACCCTTATGAGAACTGGATAAAGGCCATCTTCAGGGCACCCCCTCAGGGCTGATGTAAAATTCTCTCAAAGGACATGGGAAGTGGAAGTACCACTGAGTAAAAGATATTAGAGGACTAAGGGTAGAGGGTCAAGATTTTATGTAAGAGGACCTAGCTCCTGGGTCTCAGAGCTTGCTAAGTGGTGCTTGGGCTTTATTTTAGTTTCTACTCATCCTTCAGTGTCAAGGGCTTTGTCTCAGCTCATCAAATGTGCAACAACAACATGTAGTTACCCTGATTCTGCTATGTGAATGGAGGTTAATTCCTTACTTAAAACTGTGAGAACTGGACCTTCAATTAGATTTTATATTAGTCATTTTTAAATTGAAAAGAGATTTAAAAAAATGTTATTTACAATGTGGAGAACTAAATAAAACTTTGGTTGTAAAATTCAGCCATTAGGCCATTGTGGAGCCCAGCCTTCTGGAATGGAGAAGTTTACCTATCACTCATCCATTTTTTATGAAGGAAGGTAATTCTGATTTTAGGTAGAAATGAAGTATGAGAAGCCAGGCACAGTGGTGCATGCCTGTAATCCCAGTGGCTCAGGAGACTGAGATAGGAGGATCACGAGTTCAAAGCCAGCCTCAGCAAAAACGAGGTGCTAGGCAACTCAGTGAGACCTTGTCTCTAAATAAAATACAAAATAGTTCTGGGGATGTGGCTCAGTGGTTGAGTGCCCCTGAGTTCAATCTCTGGTAATCACCCCACCACCACCCCCCTAAAAAGAAAAAAAAAGAAATGAAGCATGTGAAAACTCAAAGATGTTTGATGTCAAGAGAAAAGAATATCTGTGAAAATCCACATACTTAAAAAGGAACAAAAAGTTTTTCTTCCTGCAGTCACACCTTATGAAGATACTGTCTGATTAATCTTTCCTTTATAGGACTTTCCTGATAATGCTGAAAAGTGAGCCCACTACCTCTTCTCCCTCTTCACCCTCCAGTTCTCCAACAGTGTAGCTGTGAGCCCCAACCCTACATAGCAGAGCCCAGCGTTGCCTCTATAACTCTCATTCATTGCCCTCACCCTCTGCAGAGATGTCTCATACTTAAATTCTACAGATGGTTGGTAATCAGATGGAGAAACTTTGGCTAGCAGAGTTGTATTCTTATATTAAATGCACTAAGAGATTCATGACACAATTCTTAATAATCATACTGGGACCCCAAGCCCTTGTATACACATCCACAGCCAAGAGTAAGATTCACAATTAACCTTCCTTGTGCCAGAGTACTGGTGCTGAGAGCATCTGTTACTGCCAAATTCCTGCAGCTTAAACTTGTTTCCGATAGTGAATCACAAAATTAGAGAAGTGAGATTGAAAAATAGTTTGTGTTCTTTGTGACATCAGCTACTTTATTCAATAATAATTGATTTAAATCAATTGCCTCAATTGATCTTTTTTTTTTTCCAGCACAGATGTTGTGTCCTAATGTGATGTGGTACTTCATCTTTGATCTGGTTCCACCACTGCTCATCCCAATCTCTCCCATCACTACTTCTATCTGTTGCCTCACCATTCACAAACTCAAGGTCAGTAGAGGTTGGAGAGCATGGTGGAAAGAGATCATGTACATAGTCAAGGCATTGCATCCAGTTAGACTAAAACTGAAGATTGTTGGCAGAAATGTGAAGATCAATTATCTACTGGTGTAGCTCAGTCCTTTTTTTCCTGGGTAATTCAAGGCCTAATTGTCCTGGAATATTGTATTGTATTGATGTCCCCACCCTCGTCACTTTTTGTTTTAGCATTTGCAGATCTTTTAAAGTATCTTATCTCAACCTTTCCTCTTGGTGCTAGGCGAGAATTCATCTTCTCCCACTCACCACAGCAGCTCTAGTCTCTCCACAGGAGGGTTGTCCACTGTATCCAAACACACCTTAGCAGTTTTACTTCTGTGTCTTTGCTCCTGTTGTTTTCTCTGTGGAAAGTGCCCATTTCCTAACACCTAGGAATCCACGATCCAGAAAGTCTCAGTGCAGATATAGGAATGACTGACAGAAATGAGGTAGTATCTGCCTTCAGGGAGCTTAGAGAAACATAGAATAAAGTATCTTAAAAATAGAACCTGTGAAATTGTTGAATTAATTTTAATGTCTACAGGTCATATGACAAATGCTACAGAGATGGAAAGAATATTCAACTGAAATTTGATAGTTCAAATTCCATTGTACATCCATACAATAGAATACTAATGCATATTTATAGGCCATTCATACAATTGTGTTGATTAAAAGGGAATGAAAAAGAGCTATAAAATCTGTCCTGGAGATCACACTTAACAGTATAATCATGACCAAAGGTGAAGGTGATGTGGAGAGTTAAAACCCTCTTATGCAAGGAGGGGGAGAATATGAACACACACACATACTTATATTTTGAAGAAATGGTGACAGAATAAATTAAAAATCCAATGAAAATGGCTACTTATAGGAAGAGAACAGAGAAAAGAAAGCTATATATTCTGAATTTAACTTATTTGGTTGTTTTAATGGCATAATAATTTAAATCATTTACATACTTCATAATTAAAACACGTTTGTGAAGCAAAAAAAGGCTCAGAAGTCCCCAAAATTTAAACACTATGGAAGCAAATGAAGATAACTCGTTATCAAGCAGACCACATAAAACATGCACAAAAAGAGTTATTCTCAGTGGCTTTTTCTTTTCTTTTCTTTTTTTGTACCAAGGTTTGAATCAGGTATACTTGACCACTGACCCACATCCCCAGCCCCATTTTGGATTTTATTTAGAGACAGGGTCTCACTGAGTTGCTTAGTGCTTTGCTTTTGCTGAGGCTGGCTTTGAACTCGCAATTCTCTTGTCTCAGACTCCCAGTGGCTTTTAAACATAGGTTTTATATATCATTCATATTATGTAAGGGTAAAAGAGCAAATTGAATTTACATTTCACAATAATATATTGCTACTAGCAATAATACAAATAGAATTGTTTATTCAATTACATAGGAACCCAGATTTTTAGTATAAGAAAAAAGCTCATAGGCATAAAACCAAAGAACTTATACAAATTTCCCTAAAATCTACATGAATAATAGTGGAATTATCTCCAATTTAAGATTGCAAGATTTTATTTCCGTTTGGTATTTGTTCAATGTTGTGACCCAGAATCAGTTATAACTGAGCAGCAGTGATTTCCTAAATAATCAGATGATATAAGGAATTCTGGTTAATTTTCTTAAATATATATTAAATATATGTACATATGTTCCTTGTGCATTATATGACTTCAGTTACTTATATTCAAAAACTGATAGTGTCCTGTTCTTTTACTCAATTAAAATCCATTGCCTCAATTGAGCACATATTTTATATAATTGTATATAGATATATGATATCAAAATATCATTGTTTGAATTAATTTTTCACCACTACAACAAAATACCTAAGACTAGGTAATTCATATAGAAATTTCTTTGGCACATGATTCTGAAGGCTGAGAAACCCAAGAGCATGGTGCAGGCACGTGTGTAGGCCTTCTTGCTGCATCATAATGTAGCAAAGGACATCGCGTGGTGAGACAGATTGAGCGTGCTAACACAAGTTTCTTTCTCTTCTTACATGAATGCTGTATTTGGGGCTTCACCTTCATGACTTCATTTAACTTTAATAACCTCCCTCTCAAAGTCCTGACATCCAAATACCATTAGTATATGAATTTGGGAATTAAGTTCACAGTGCATGAACTTTTTGGGGAGTCTTTCAAACCAAAGCAACTATCATTACCTGTTAGAAATACATAAGTATTTATTGGTGAAATTATATAATGTCTAGGATTTGCTTTAATAAAGCAGTTTTTCACCCAGAGGTATCTTAATAACTTTTTTTCAAAGTCCTTAAAAAAGTACAGAGGAGGTTCTCTGTTATCTCTTCTGCCAGTAGACAGAACTATGTAAAGTTCCTAGAGAACCAGAAAGCAGGAATGGAAATGGAAAGGTGTCTGTGATTTTGTAACAACAGGCTTTTTCACCAGGGAACCATCACAGCTGTTGACCTTCTCTCCTTCCCTTTCTTAATGCACCTAGCTTAGGAGGAACAAGGGGGTCAGTGTGGTTCCAGTGGCAGGAAGGAGGCAAGGATAGGGAGAGCTGGGATCCATCTCACCAGAGCCATTCAGGGCATTCAGCTTTGCAGTTTTAAGATGGTGATCAGGAGGCCTCTTGCAGAAAGTAGCATTTAAGTCAGGGAAACCACAGAGAAAGAGGCGTGGTCGACTGGGAGAAGAGCCCCTCAGCAGAAGCAGCAGCCCATGCTCTTTCCCCACCAACTCTCTAACCTCTATGCTTCCTTACTTTTCTTCATAGCACTTGACACCATCGCACATATACTGTATTTTACTTAGGTTTTTCTGAACCTCCTCATAAGACTGAATGCTGAAACAGGAATGATTTCCTTTTTGTTCACTTCTTTATCCCTGGCACCAGGGTGTGGTGTGTGGTAGGCATCTTGTGGGGTGTGGGGTGTGGTAGGCACCTTGCTGAATGTGTGTTATGCTAATCTTGTATACTATAGCTCTCCCACAAAGCAGGGCTGTAGGGCTGTGTGTGACATATGTGTGATGGAGACTTAGGGTCTGCACTGAATAGAAAAAGCAGCTTAAGGCCAGGGAGTTTATTGGCTGAATCCTCAAAGCCTGCTATATACAACTCACTTCCTGTACTTACAGACATTCATGCACGCATACACGTGTGGATATGAGTGTGATTTTGTGATGTAAGAAGGGAGGCTTCTCCCCTCTGTGTGGATTAGCCTTTCATGTCCTTTAGAATCTTAACAGTCCTTTGTGAGTGCACAGTTCAACCAGCTCACATTTGGCAGGGGAGTTTTCTCAGAGAGGTTGCCCTGTTTAATCCCTACCAGAAAAAGAGCAGACACATCATTCCTCGACTATTTCAACTGATCCTCCTGTTGGCAGACACTGTACCAGCCTTGCTGCCAGCATGTGATCTGAGGTCATGGTTTGGTTACAGGTTCATGAACTGGAAGGTGAACTGGAGGGCCAGCTCCATCACAATGAGGAGACCTACAGGGAAGCTCACAGACTGGAGCAGTGCATCAGAGAGCTGACCTATCAGGTAGTGCAGAGAACCATTCCCTGTGTATATAGTTGGGCTGGACCTTGCAGAAGTGTGCTCCTTCCAGGCTGAAAAATCCTCCTGGGACCCCTGCAGTTTTCTCTGAATCTTTGATCTCCCTCAGCAGCACTGACTCACCTCCCAGGGCTCTGTTCCTATCTGTTCTTATGATTTTAGGTCGATGCTTCTACAGAGCTTGCAGGGATGGGAGCGGTAAGTTACAATTAGAAGTGAAATCTATTTATGCCATCCTTATTTTTTCACACATAGTGTTTGCAGCACTTTCACAAGCGTGCCTTCCTGTGAGAGGCTGAGTGAGAACAACATGTAAATGAAGTGACTGGTAAAGGCTTGAATGACCACCCAGCCAGCAGATTAAATGGGATGCTAATTGAAGCAGGGGACATTTCCATTCCTGTTTTGCACAAACACTCAAGGCCGCTGAGGACTCTATTGCTAATGCCAGTTGGTAACAGCAAATACTATAGAAAGGCCTAAGGCTTTCTGAATCTCACCTATTGACTAACATTGGTCTCAAGCAAAAAATTGAAATGATGTGGGAACACTTCTTATAAGTTCTTAATGGAAGGAGTGGTATAATCCTCATCCTCACTCTTGCCTGTGCCGCCTGTCGCTTTTCTTGCTAGTGCAATACCTAGATGGCGCTCTGTGGTCCACACTCTAAAGCCCAGCAGCCTCCTGGTACACAGCGTGTGCACATACTTCAGTTGTTGAACACAGATGCCAAAAATTACTTTCTAGTCTTCTCACAGTGAACAAATACAGCTTATTGCATTGAAAAGTGGAATATTTCATCTTAGGGGCCCACTTTCACAGCTCCTCTGACAGTACTAACACAGGATCTGTGGGTCTTGGTTCTGATTCCTGAGACTGAGTTGTTAGAAACGTCAAAGTCTTCCTCCCTTGCAGCAGGAAGCACAGTGTTGATAAGAAAGCGGAGCACTTCAGACATATCATCTTGGGCTAATTAAGATGAAATGAGCTACTCAAACAGCTCTTATTACTGAATAAGTGGTTCTTTTTATGAGATGCATTTGTCTGACACTTCTTTAAACAATGTGAGGTATATCAAAGCCAATGAAGAGTGAGCCTATGATATGTGTAGTTAAGAAAGTAAACAGCTTGGGAACATGAAAGTTTGCTAATCTAGTCTTCCCTAGAGCAGGGTGGGGGAAGCCACCCATGTTGATGAGGTCAAATAATGCAACTTGTTAGTAATGTTTGGGTTTTGTTTTTATTTCCCCATTGATTATTCTTATTTTCATCTTTAAACAATTCCATTATGGAACAAAACACCAAAGCTATAATTTTTTGGTTTTCATTGTCCCAAGGAATGTAATCTTATTCTATTGTGTTGTTTTTGTTCCTTCATTGCAATAATCTCAGTGTTTCTCATATATTAGTTTGGAGGTGCATTTCTTAATTTCTTCCAAGTGTCTGCACAATGTTGAGAGTGGATCCAGTCAATTATGCAAATGAGTGGGTTCCACCATCAAATCCAATAATACCTACTGAGCCCTGACTTCATGCAAGATATTGGGCTAGACCCCGCGATTTGAAAGAGACACTAGCAGGCTCTCCACATTTCTTGATATCCATATCTTGTTCATAAACATTCAAGGTTGGTACTTTGTCAATTCATTTCATCTTTATTAAACATCAAAATGCCCATCAGAATGAGGCATGATGTTTTGTAATAGCCCATTAATAGGTACACATTCAAAAATGTCCCTCTCAAATGTCCCTCCTGGTAAAATCCTCTGGGGAGATTTTATAACCATGTACTGAATAGGGAATCAAGTGTAACTTTATTCCATAATGGTGCTATGGTTTTCCCCACTGTACCCTTATCTTTTCCTTTCTGTTCTTCTGCCATTTGGAAACAATGCTAGAAAGCTAGTGCTTCAAAAGATGTTCGATAAAGCAAAACATGAGATGAGAAACTGTAACTGTTGTAGAAGGTAAAGACAATTTCCCTGCCCCTCACTCTCTGTATCAATTTTACCTTTTACTACCTCTAACATTCAGGAACCTATGTGTAGCTATTCCTTAATCCTTACACACATATAGAACAAAAAAAGGACTTTGTGGCCTCAGTGTCAATGCTATGGCAGATCCAAAGAGGCTGTAGTTAGAGGTTGCACTTTTCACAGCTGAGTGGTCACAGCTTTTCTGGAAGGGACATCCAATACACAGTTATGGCCACCATAGTTATTTATTGGCTTAGAGCCATGATGTGAGTCTGGGTCTAACATCAAAGGCTTTGCCTTCCCAAGTGGGAGGAGCATCATTAACATCAGCAACTACTTTAATTCACCTCTCTTATATGTGGCCTCATTATCACCTCTCTCTCCCCAGAATTGTTATTATCAATTAACCCCATGTTGATTTTAGAGTTTACTGTAAACACAATTCTGTGAATCTTTAAATTTCATAAAATATATTTTACTTAAAACATGGTCTTTTCTCAGCTCCTCAACCAGGTTGATTCCTATGTATTCATCTTTGCCTCAGTAAGCTTCAAATGAGTAATTTTCTACTGTCAGATTCCAGGTGATGCAAACAGCTTGGCTAAAATCATAGAGAAGGGCATAAGCAGGAGCTGTGGGAAAATAGGGAGCAATGAGCCTGTTGCAGTGGGAGGGTTTGGGGGGATAGGGGAAAGTAAGTGTGGAACCAAAGGAGTTGATAATTGATAAAAGAAGTAAAATGCTGTGGCTTGAATCTTGAACATACCCTCATATGCTCAAGTGTTGAAGGCATAGTCTCCAAGACATGGTGCTATTATTGGGAGATAATAGGACCTTGAAGAGGAACGGCCTAAGGTAAGAAAGTCCTGTCATTTGGGGTTTTGCTATTAAAGAAGACATTGGAAGCCTCTTTGTTTCCCAGCTACCAGGCAGTGAACAGCTTCCTCCCCCACTCCCACCATGATGCATTCACTGCCTTGCCACAGGCTTCCAAAGCAACCAATAATTGAAACCTCTGAAGCTGTGGGTAAAACGTCTTTCCTCTTTTAAGTTGTTTATCTTAGGTATTTTGTCACAGCAATGGCAAACTAACTTACACATGAGGGAAGCTGAGAGTGCATATAAAGTTCAACCAGCAAGGTTATAGGGGGTTCTAAAATTCTGCCACCATGTCCAAGGATGCCAGACATAGACTTTGGATTTGATGTTGGCCCTGCTGTGTTTTCATCTTGCTTTTGGTCTGATCCTTGCTTTCCATTCCCCTCTGCCTCCTTCTGGAATAGTTACCCTTTGCCATTGTATCTTGGAAGTCTGTAACTTTATATTTACAGGGGCTCAGAGCTAATGGCTTGCTTCGAGTCTCAGAGGAGACTTTGTACTTAAGCTTTTGAGCAATACTGGAAAGTTAAGATTTGGCAGACTCTTGGGCATTAACTAAATACATTTGATTTGTAAAAGGGGCAGAATCCTATAGTTTGGATCTTGAATGTCCTTCAAAGGCTTGTAAGTAAAAGTCTTGGTTCATGGCCTGTGTTGTTATTGGGAGTTGGTAGAACATTTAACAAGTGGAGCATTGTAGAAGAAAGTCTAGTTACTGAGGCCAAACCCTTCCTCTCCGTTTTGCTTCTGGCAGCCATGAGGTGAACAATTTCTCTACCATGTGCTCGTACTCTGATGTACTGGCTCACGATAGACCCAAAAGCAACAGGCCAACTGACCATGGACTGAAATCTCCAAAACTGTGAGCAAAAATAAACCTTTCCTCTTTTTAAGTTGAGTATCTTAGGATTTGGTCACAGAAACAAACACATGAAGCCAGTACCAAAAATGTAAGCAACAGGGGTAGATATTAAGTTTATTTCTCAATCCTCAGTAGATTGGGATATTTTCTTCCTTTGGAAAGTTCAACTGCTCTGAAATAGAAACACTCCAGTTAAGGGGGAATTGGAGATATGAAGGTGGTAGGGAGGATGAAGAGTCCTGTCCACCTGCCTGCCTCTCCCCTGCTTTTTCAGAATACCAAAGACTCCATGTAGCATAGTAAGACACGGCCTCCCCAGCTGTCCTTTCTGTAACCCAACCATGGACTGTACCTGAGGCAATGAGACTAAGCACACTAAGGTCCCCACATCGTATGCAGTTTTCCTATCTCTGTTGATACCCATGCCAGAATCCAGAAAATTTACCTTTCCTATAGTTTCATTTTTCAAACCTATGGGTTAATTACAAAGTTCAAGGAATGAGTTGTTTTGATTGGAGTGTTATTGATTTTCCATTTTGCATATGTGGTCTTTTTAATAATGCACTTCATTCCTATTGAGAAACTCAGGCACCCGTAGCTTGGTTGGAATGGAGAGGCTGAACACTATATTGAATGTAATGGCTTTAACTTCCACTTCAGCAAAGCCTGGGGGTGTTGTGGGTGGATCAAGAGGAATGGCTCTGTCGTTGCTCAGAGCTGAGTTTAATTTCTCAAAAATCGGGGTGAGTAGTTAAGTCCAAAACAACTCTCAGATGGTGGTTTTTAATAAAATTTCCCCACATGAGGCTATTCCCAGTATAGACTGCCAAATCTTCCAAATTACCTTCAAGTACAATCCTATACATTTTAGGCAGAGGAAGACAAGAAAATTGAGCAAGATGCAGACTCTGACGGATAAACTTCAGCTCAAAGTGCAAAATTTCAAGCAACAACAAGAGGCGGTGGTAAGTGCCTGGCACAATTGCAGCCTCATGAATTTCCCAGCCATTGCTTTTGGTTAGTGGAGATTGATGACTCCAGGCTTGCAGAATAACTTGTCAGAGAGGGCCAGCTGAGGTTAATGTCTGCCCATTCTGGTCTTTCTTAATTTAGGCCTATCATCCCTAGAAAACATTTGTGCTGTTTTGGAAAGCCAGAGCAGGCTCCCTCAACCTTGTGGTTATACCCACACATGGACTATAAGAGATGAGAGAAGTAATAGCAGGGTATTGTGCAGGGATGACCAATTTTGGGCAGGATTGTCACCCTGGGGCTTCCCAAATCCCCACACTTTGGATGAGCATAAACACAACAGTTCACGATACTTTTTCCTGATAAGCCTGGACATGGCTGTGGACCAAACCGCCATCTTTGAAATGTATCTGCAGCTCCATGGAATGTAATTGGTAAGTGCCATATATTTTTTTAATGTTTTATGTTTTTAATAGTACATGCAGTTATATATAATAGTTTCATTCTGACAATCATATGCATAGACCATGATTTGTTCCATTTTCAGTCCCTAGTACTTCCTTTCTCCCTCCTCCGTTTTGTTTCTCTACTGGTCTTCTATTGTTTTATAATTGGTGCTTTATTGATATAAATTAAGATGGAATTCACTGTGGTATATCCATATATGTATGTAGCATAATTTGATAAATTTCATTCTTCAGTTCCTCACATTTCCCTTCCCTCTTGATCTCCCCTTTATTTTCATGGTTCTTCCCCCACTTATTTTGCCCTAGCTTCTACATATGAGAGAAAACATTTGACTTTGAATCTGGTAGGTTCTCCATCTCTATTCATTTACCGGCAAGTGTCATTATTTCATTCTTTATGGCTAAGTAAAACTCCATTGTGTATCTATACAAAAATTTTTTGTTTATCTATTGATGGATACCTGAGCTGGCTCCATAATTTAGCTATTGTGCTGCTATAAACATTAATATGCCTGTATCACTATTCCATGCTGATTTTAGTTCTTTGGGATAAATACCAAGGAGTGGAATAGTTGGATCCATTTCTAGTCTTTTGAGAAATCTCCATACTACTTTCCAAAGTGGTTGTACTTTGCAGTCCCACCAACAATATAAGGGTGTTCCTTTTCCCTTAAATCCTCTTCAGAATTTTGGTTTTCTTGATGATTGTTATTCTAAGTGGCATGAGATGAAATCTGTTTTGATCCTTGTTTACCTGATTGATAGTTGGCCATTTGTGTTTTTTAGGTGTTAAGTTGTTTGAGTTCTTTAGAGAGTCTGGATATTAATCCCCTGCTGAAGGAGTAGGTTATGCCTAATATTTAATAAGGCGTTTTAAATTAATTGATTTGGGCTAAAATAACACTGTCTTAAAATTACCTGTTGATTCATAACTTGACCCAAAGGCAGAACACAATCTTGAACTGACTTATAAATAACTATTTGCTGTAGCACATAGCAAGTCTATGAAAGCTCTACTACTTGCAATTAATGGAAAGTGCCCAAGGGGTTCTGAATTTCCAGGGAATAGCAGCTATGAAAGTGGATCTTGTACCTGCTACAAAGTCTGAATTTCTATATATCACACCCAAATTCATTCAATACTCAGAAGGTGATTTTTCACCTTTTCCTTGTCAGAGCAGAAGAAACTATTCAGGGATGGGGATTTTTGTATTTTTTATTTTCATATGAGGCACAAGCCAATCAATGAGCTCATGTTGCTTATACTTGGAAAGCTAATCAAGTGAAGGAAAGGGCAGAGACAGCAGAATCTCAAGTCAATAAACTGAAGATTAAAGCAAATGTGTTTAGGAAAAAAAAGTACAGCAGATATTCAACTCTGGTGTAACTTACAGCATGTCAGGTTAGGTCTCACTTCATTGCTTTATTTTTTTAAGTAAAGTTCAAATAAAATCTTCCTATGTTCACAAAAATTCTTTTTGGCTAGATAATAGGATGTGCTTCCCACTTCCCTATTTATAGTTCAAAGTTATTAATTGCAGGTTAACTTCAGGTTCTAAGTGCCAGGCTGGGCCCTCAAGTCATTCAAGTAGAATATCCAGGACTCCATGGAACAAAGACTTGAAAAGCATTAAAGGATATGCTGAAAATTAATTGAATACTTTTCATGGTAGACAAGTGCGTGACTTTGTATCACATCAACACAGAGACCGGGGAAGATGTTTAAAACTGAGGGAATGCAGGAGGCAAGATACTCTTTCTATTCCTAAAATTATCCCCAAACAGAGAAGGATCTTTCTGCACCTTTGTGGTTCATGAAATGACTGTTCTGATCCAGTGGTAGAAGCCAGTACCCTAATTTTATGGGAAATGTGGCTCAGTGCAAAAGAAACCTTGAACTAAATGTTCAGAAGGAAGCTTCAGCTTTTTGAGATTTTCCCAGGAACATAATTTTTAAATGAGGTCTGACTTTAGAAGTGAGTTAAGAGATTGGATAATGTGATAGTAGATCCCCTTCACAGAATGCCTGTAAAGCATTTAGCACAGTTTCCAGCTCAGACAGGCACCATCTTTCATTTTAATAATTTGGTGCATCCTGTACTATTTATTTCTGATAAATGATTTACTACTAGTAGCCCTACAAGATGAATTGATAAGGTTAGCAACAAAAAATACCACCTTAAGGGAGGTCAAATGGATTTCTTGAAGGAGGGACTAAAAGTTTGTTGCTCTAAATATGAGAAGCAGGAGTCATTGCCAACACCAAGATTTCTTATTGATGCCTGAAAAGCTATCATGGATATGTCCTAAATATAGGCTGTAAGTGGCTTGAATGCTGGTCTCAATTTGAGAAGTGTATGGCAATGGATTTAGGGTCTTCTCTGCAGAGCCTGCCCAGCGACCCCATATAATGGAATTGTTCAGGGAGGTGCCTCACAAGTGCTCCAATTTCACTCAGCTGCAAGAGCTTGAAGGGCATCCAAAACGGATGCCATGTATTTGACTTTGTTGCAGTTATTTCTAACAAAGAATGAAGCAAAAAGGGCCTCTGAAAGGCCAGAGATGAATATGAAAAGCTTTCTTGGCAGTGCAATGACTAATTGTTTCTTATTCACAGAAGAAAAGCCTAGAAATCCCTCAACTGATATATACGCATAAGGAAAAGGTTTTCTGATAGAACAGTGTGTCAGGGCTGTGGAGAAAATTGATGATGTGGCTGCAGAATCTTCCTCCTCAGTGGGGAATGGGGACAGAAAACAGTGACCATGCCCTTGGAGTGTATACAGAATGTGTCTGCTTTCTGTAATGCAGATAACTGCCTCAATTACCTGCCTCCTTTTGAAGAGCTGGCTAAGACCTACTTACCTCTGAGAGGACTTGGCATGGTCTGAGCATGTGCTTCACTGGAACTTCATAGAAAATACCAATATTGTTTTTTTAGGTTCATGAAGATTAAGCAATTTCTTCTTATAAAGGAAAAGGAGGGGGCCATTTTATAGCCAAAAACTCATGTTGTTTTCAAGAGGAACATTTACAAGATAATTAGAAAATTGCCAGGTGCAGTGGCACACACCTGTAATTCCAGAAGCTTGGGAAGCTGAGACAGGAGGATCTCGAGTTCAAAGCCAACCTCAGCAATGGTGAGGGGCTAAGCAATTCAGTGAGACCTTGTCTCTAAATAAAAAGAAGATAGGGCTGGGGATGTGGTTCAGTGGTTGAGTGTCCCCAAGTTCAATCCCTGAAACCAAAAAAAAAAAAAAAAAATGAGACTTTGGTCCTTAAAAGCATTTCTTTATGTTAGAAGAGCCAATGAATGCAAGAATTTCTTAAATTCTGATGTTAAAAAGTAAATGAATACTTCTTTTATCCATACTGCTTCTTAATGCATAAAACTTATAGAATGTACTCTTAGAGCAATTAGGCTCCATGGGAATTATGACATGTTAGTAAAATGATTTTTACTGATAACCAACTAGAGTTAGTATGGTGAGTCTTGGGGACCTCCAAAGAGTACCAGTATCTCTAATACTATTTAGGGAAAATGTAGTATTTTAAGCCATTAATGGTGAGAGTTGATAAAATTTTAACAATGTTCTAGATATAACCAATTAGTCACTTTAAACTTAGAGGAAAACATTCCTAATGGACATACATGTAGGCTATATGCCAACATGGATTTTTAACCACTGAGGCAGTGTATCACACAGGAGTTCAGTACAGGATGATATGCAGGCTTTGTACTGTTGCAGTGTGGTTATGTGTGTGTAGCACCAAGACAAACATGGTGCTACGTGTTCACTCAATATTGCAAGCCTGGTTGCCAGTTGTAACAGAATCCAGGTGTGTCAATTCTCAAGTTGGCAGTACCTTTTCCCTAAATAGTATTAGAGATACTGGTATTCTTTGGGGGTACCCAAGACTCACCATACTAAATCTAGTTGGTTATTCTGCTACAACCATTTATGTACAACTAAAGAATAAATAAGAAATTTATTTCTTATGGTTCTATGTAAAACTAGAGCATTTTCAAGTCAATTGCCTTTCTTAGATCCAGGCCCTGGTTTTCCACCTTTTTACTAAAGTGACTCCCTGCTTTTGCCCATTAACAGTGAATCAGATGTCGAATCAACTCCTAGTAATACATTCCTTTTGAGTTCTTGGTGGATACTCACTGTAGCCTCCTGGGCTGACTAAAACAGGTATGTAAATGAATGAGAATTATTTTCTAGGGATTCCTTGCATCTGGACAGTCATAGTAATGTAGATGTGGCGTTCAGTGAATGAAGCTTAAATCAATGGAATACTAGAAGTCTTCCTCTGTATTGTACTGCTGTAATAGAACACCTGTCACTGGCTCATTTATAAAGAACAGAAATTTAATTCTTATGGTTCTAGAGGCTGAGAATTCCAATATCAAGGTGTTTGCATCTGGGTGAGACTTCTTGCTGCATTATTCGAAGGCAGGAGGGCAAAAAAAGGC